TTCATTCTGGATATAAATCGTAATTTCTTTTGCCTGTGTTTTTTCTTCACAAGCACGCCTTTCATATAATGATAGAGGTAAGATGCATTGATGTTTGTTTTATGGTTGTGGGACATTTTGTGGATACATAGTAAACATTTTGTTCTTAGATTTTTGTTGTTGATTTACTGTACATCTTTTGTATTTTATACATTTATGTTATAAAAATCCCTTCCACACTTGTACTATTAAAAACGTGATTGGTTTAACTAGTAACAGCTTTGTGGTTTTAAAGGATTATTAAGAATATTTATACTTACCTAAGATAAAATGTAGAAACAACTATTTTAGTTGATTAGACATTAATACCTAATGGCTCAGTCAGCCTTAAAACCTTGTATTGATTAAGTTTTTATAGTTTATCATTAGCTTATATGTCAGCATGTGCTTATTTTTAACAGGAGACGATTTCTGGTCTAGCCCATTAATCTTTTCATATGAAATCTGTATTTTCAGAAAGTATCATCTTTGCCATCTTTAGCAAATAAGTGAACTAGCGTGGAAGTGTAACTTCTGATAGTCTTTTTGTTCTCTAAAGGCTTAAGGCTGAATTAAATTAGAATTCATCTTCAAATGTAGAACTCAGGATAAGTAAAATGATCACAGATGACTTTGCTGTTCCTCACTTCTTATGATTTATTCTTACGTTAGTTATGGCAATGAAATTTAAGGAGATGGTGTTGGGTAGAAAGGGTCTTTTCCAGTTGTCATTTCAACTTGTCTCTCAACATGATGTCTTCTGATGCCATAATTTTCATATACAAATTGGTGTAGAAGAAACGTAACCATAGTCATGTTCTAATGCATGTCTTTTTAGTTTTGCAAAATAGCATGGATATTGTAGGAAAATTGGAGGCTTAGAGAAAGTTTTCAGGAACTCTGAGGTACTTACAGCTTATCCCCACAAAATAGTTTCTCTATGTGGCAGGGCAAAAACTGTATTTTATGGATGGCAACAGTATATTGTCATTTATGAAGTTTTAAGTCTAGTCTGAATTGATCTTCCTAGTGGTTCATACACACACACACACACACACACACACACACACACACACACAAATTTCTTTTTAGAGAAAGGGGAAATGACAAATCACTCGGGGATGGCTATGCTGCAGTTCCTTCTCCTCCATTCTCCTTCTGGGGTCTTGGGCACACATACACACTCACCTGGAGTGATTTTCCAGCCACTGGGTCCAGAACTCATACCACCATTGGCCATATGGGAGTCCAACGATGTAACCACTATGCCATCTGCTGGTCCCATGGTTCATATATAAATTTAAAGATATAAATCTTTATTCCTAGAATCAAATATAGAGGGTTTGTTGGTGGATTTTTCCTATAATAAAGAGGCTAATAAACAAACTAATTCCTAGTATTCTTAGATTATAGGATAAGCGAAACACAGATATTAGAGATGCTTTTATAGCTTTAGTCATCTTTTCATAATAAAGCAAAAAGCTATACTGATTAGTATTACATATTTTATACAGTTATAATCTGTGCTATAAAATTACTAATTTTTGAACCAGATCCTTTAAGTAGTAAAGAAGGTTCCTTAAAATACATATAAAAACATATTTCTTAAGGTTTTGTTACTCTTACTGGGATACTCCTTTGCAAGATCTTCTTTTCACCCTTAAAAAGTTGGTCAGTGTTCTTTTTCATTTATGCTTTCTACTTCTGAGTGATTTTGACAACAGCCTGCTTTCTGACTGTTACAATATACTATTGAACATAATTGTAATATTAGGAAGGTGATCTAAGACTCTTTTCTGTGATAATGGTAGTTTAGAAAATGTTGAACAGAGCCTTAGAAACTTGAGAATTTTGAAGTTTTTGCATGTATTTGGAAACATTTAAAGATTAATCATTTTTTTCAAAACATGGACATTGAAAATTATTGCATGTTACCCAAGATAAAAGTTAATATAATACTAAAATAGTATTTTGAACTGCTGACATATTTTTGAGATGTAGATTATATCATCTGAATTTTATTTCATAGATGAAATCATGCCCATGTAGTTGGCACCCTTTAAAAAGAGAATGGATGGTGTGAGATAGGCTTTATCATTCAATTTCTATGAAAGTTATTAAAACATCTTAATATTTCAGTTACGTATTTCTTACTCTCTACATAACCATTTCCCCCTCTTCATCTTTTAGCCCTTATCTGTTTGTATATTCTAGCTTTTAGCATCTCTGCTTTGAAAAAATATCTGCCTTTTTCTAACTTTTTCTATTTCGCTTAATTATTCTTTTATGCAATTATACAGTAGTTTTTGGACCTGGAGGACTCAGTGGTTTTCTTGCCTCGTTAAAAAAATAGCTTTTAACTTTTTCCCCACAACTCGACGTTCATATAAGCAGCATACTTCTATCAGTAGAATCTCATGCTACAGGTAGAGATGATCATTAAAACTCTCTACTCCAGGGACCAGCAGTTGACATAATGGCTATGTCACTGGACTTCAGTGACTGCAGTTTGAGTCCCAGACCCAGAGGCTTAAACTCATGCCAGGGTCATGTGCGTGCGTGGCCATTCCCCCGGGGGGTGACTTCTCGCTTTCTATCTCTCTATTTCTTTCTTTCTGGCGAGCGCACGTGTCCTATACCAAAAACCTCTCAAAAAAAAAAAATAAATAAAAACTCTCCCCTCCAGAATTACTAGAGCCTCCTCCCACTGAGAACCATACTTGAGAACTAGTCTTTCCTGTCAGGTTTATATCTGACCTCCTTAACCTTGTCATTCCATGAGAGGAAAACACTTCAGCTTTACTAACCTTTTATGTTTGAATATGGGAATGAAAAACAACTTTTATTGACATTAAAAAAAAAATCTGAGTTTGAAATGAGTCATAGGAAGTCTTCTATTTTTATCTTACTGTTTTAAAATAGGAGTTCTCAAGCCATTTCATAAAGATTTTCTACTTTAGTTTAGAAGAAGAATCATATGTTTTTTTTTTTTTTTTCTATTTGATACCTTGCACGTTTTTATTGTTGTGGGCCTAATGTATATGTAAATTTTTAAAACTCCTGAGTGGCACCAGTGGACTGAAAGGTGCTTAAAGGAAAGACTAATAATATTTGAAGGTATTGAAAGAGAAAAGGACAGAGAAAGGAATGGAGAGAGATGCATTGATCTGGGGGGTGACATAAAATTTCCAAGTGTCTTAGGTGTGCCACCCAGTGTTACCATATCTCCATATCTGTCGCTCTCCCCACAGAACTTTTACGTTCTCCCCAAAGACTCATCACACAGTCCTTGAAATGCTTCTATTGCTTTTCTCTGGAAACTTTCCTAAAGGCTTCTTACATCTTGTTTCAGTTGCAGGTATTGAAACAATAGAATACAAAGCGGAAAGCTGCCATTTTTATTTATTTTTTGGAGAGGTTTTTTCGCTATAGGGAGCGTGCGCTTGCCAGCCAGAGAGGGAGAGAGACATAGAGACAGAAAGCGAGAAATCACTCCCCCCCCCCACCCGGGGAGATGGCCACGCCTCAATCCCTTCTCCTCCATTCTCCTCTCTGGATCTTGGGCACGCACGCACACGCGGCCGGCGTGAGTTTTAAGCCATCAGGTCCGGGATGCGAACCGTGGGCGACTACGTGGGAGTCCAGCGACATAGTCATTACGCTAACTGCTGGTTCCCAAAAGCTGCCATTTTTGTAGCCAGGAATTCCCTTGTGATTTGTTAATGTTATACTCCTATTGATATATTTACTCTCTTTATTGTTTCTTTTTATTAATGGTAGCAGTACACTTTTCTTCCATTCACCAGACTTTATCTATACTTCTTTCTGCCTTTTTAATTTGTCCCTTTCTTGCCAGTCAGCCTCAGAACAAACTTTTTATCTTAGATCAATTTTGGGAAATAATTATAAGCAAAGGGATGAATTGTTAATATGTTGAAAAGTTGAATGAACTGAATGAAGCTATGGAAAACCTGCATATTTATTTTATGTGCTTTGATTTGGTGTACCTATTTACAGTGTGTTTAAGAATGACTGTGGGTATTTCTGAGATTTATGAAGAAAAAAAATCTTGAGTTAAATGTAATGACTCCTCACTTAACAGCCTCCTCTTTACTGACTGCTTGGACTTAAGACTAGGTCTCCAGCATGGGGAACCCTTTTGCTTAGTCTTTGTCTTGTTCCTGATTGGTTAGTATTCTCTACAAAAAGTGATCATCACCATGCACAACTGCATACTTCGTTTATAAATTTGTACTTTATTGTGAACCTACAGTAGTACTCAGAAAAAATAAACATGATTACACCAAATTTATGTTACCGTGTTGTGTGCCTTGTTACTTATTGGTGCTTATCTAATGTTTGCTTTTTGTATGGGTAGAATCTCATGATTCTAGTGTGTGTCAAGTGGTATCGATGGAAAAATCCGTACCCTGTGGCATCACAACACACCACAAGATACCTTCCTTTTATCTCAGTGATGACCTAGCCATAGGCACAGCACTTGGCTGTGAAGTGAGGAGTGCCTGTAGCCATTGGAGAAAGTAGTAGATTTTGAGGAGATGTTTTTGTTGAGACATAACCATATTTGCTCTTAGTTGCTCTTGTTAAAATTTTTGTTCTTTAAGGAAGTATAATCTGGATGAAAACAATGAAATACTATTAGGAATGTTTTAAAGTTTCATATAAAATTTTAGTGGAAAAGTTGATGAGATTAGATGAAATGATTTTAGATAATTTATCCTGTTGTGCATATATAGCCATAGTACTGAATGCTATTATGAAAACTCTTAATTCAGATTTTCTGCCTTGTGATCATTGTAAATAAAAATGCTTGAAAACTTAGTTCTGACAAGATTGAAGTTAATGTCATTCATATTTGTTTACAGTTGTCAGTTGATTCTTTAGTATATTCTTTTCTTAGTTTTAAAATGATTACATCTCATATTCTGCTTATTTACAATTTTACTATTGTTTATCTGTAGGACCCAGGGCCACCTCCACCTTCTCCATTGCTGGGTTTAAAGCCACTGCAGTTATTAGAAGTGAAAGCAAGGGGAAGATTTGGTTGTGTCTGGAAAGCCCAGTTGCTCAATGAATATGTGGCTGTCAAAATATTTCCAATACAGGTATGTTTACTTCAGTGTTCGAATCTTCATATATTTTCTAAAAGATTAACTGCGACTGGGTCATCCTAAACCTGTTTTTTTCAGAAATAGCGTGAAAACACAAGCCATATGTTTCAGGATGATTCTTTATGTGGGAAAAGCATTAAGGCCTTTATGTCTGCCTTCGTATCTAAGAAATGGATTTGTTAGTACAGCAATCACTGTGCTTGGAGTAATGTAATTACAATAAATGAACATAGAGATTTATTTTTCCCAATAAAAATTCTATAGGAATGCTATGTAAAATGAAAATTCTAATAAAATAATAACTGATTGTCTGAGTAGTTAAGTTTTAATATTCCCCCTGACATTATCAGAAAAAGTGAAAGAGTAGTGTGCTTTGTTTTAGAATTTTTTTTCCTGAGGCATATTACCAGACTTTAATTTATTTTCATTCTAATTTGAGTATTTCTATAATCATTTCAGCTTTTGTTCGGTGAATTTTCAGAAGCAGTGAAGCAAAGCTCCAGATAATTATTTTATTGTTGAATTATTTTCTTTTAAAGCTGCTGGACGTCTTATAAAATCCTGATCCAATGCACCTGAGCGCACTGCTTTGTTTTGTTACATTGGTGGTAGAGACGCAGGATGATTCCTCTTCCCTGTTTCTTGCTTGTTCGAATATACTCCTGTGACTGATGATGACTTTGGTGCTGAGGTTCTGGCTGGATTTGGTGATTCAGGCTTTACCAGAATATGTTCTTTTGTGCCAGGATTTATAAATAAGATCAGGGAAGAAGTTATTTCAGTGTGTGTTTATATCACACAGTGTGTGTGAGACTTCAGTGAGGGAGTTTAAAATTGCAGAAAGGTGGTTGGATGATATTAACTTAAGGATAACAATAACATTTTATTGAATGCTTCTATTGTCTCAGATAGAGGTGCTGTACATGTATGACTACTCCCTAATACATGTATGTCTGGTACCCACATATGCATAACAGTATGACTCCTCATGAGAGACACCACCATCTTTGTTTTACATATCGAGGAAACTGCATGATTGTATACCTTGCCGAAGGTTTTTTTTTTTAGAACTCTTTTTAAATTTAATTTATTCATTCATTTATTTTAATTTGATTATATATAGAGAGAAAGTGAGAAAGCAAGCCACCGGGTCTGGGATTCAAACTGTGGTTGGCCACGTGGGAGTGTCCAGTGCTTAATCATCATGCCACCCACTGGTCCCCACCTTGCCGCAGTTTTAATGGGAGAGGTAGGATTTCAACTCAGATAGTTAGAGCCCAGAGGGCTCCTCACCTTTAATTCTTGGTGCTGCCCACTTTTCATTGGTCTTACATAGTGAAGGGAAACTAATCTTACACATAGATAATAGAATAGATACAGGTCACCTGTAGGCACAAATAAGCTTTTTAATTTTTGCTACAAGGTGCATGCACTCAGGGAGGGATGGCCAATCCTCAAACCCTTCTCCTTACTTCTCTTGGGATTTGGGACATGCATGAACACGCACCCAGGGTAATTTTCAAGCCATCAGGTCCAGAGCTCAAATGTGGTTGGTCGTGTGAGACTCCAGCGCCTTAACTATGATGTCACCTGGTGGCCCCAGAGCATAGGGTGTTTTTAATTATTGTATTACATGTTTATGGCCCTTGTCTTGTTGATGTTGATTCTGCGGGGTATGCTAAACATTGCTTTAGAATATTCTGTATTATATTCTCGAAAAATATTGTTTGCTGTTTAGATAGAATTATTCAGCCCGAATTTCATGTTTCAGGGTGATTATTCTGGAGAGTAACATGAGTAACTTCACACCATAATGAAATTTCAGTGTGATACTTGTAATAACTTGAAAGCAGAATCTGTTGTCACTGTAAGGTATGGAAGTGTAGCATTTCTGACCAACGCTTTGCTTATGAACTATTATAGAAACACTGAAAAGAATGTTTTGAGGGAATGGGACAGAGTGAGCATTTAGTATGGAATTGCTACCTATTGTAGGTGCTTTTTTTTATTTAAAAATAGGACAAGGGGCCAGCAGGTGGTGTGGTGGGGTTAAGGCGCTGGACTCTCATGTGGCTGACTGCAGTTCAAGCCCCAGACAAGTGGCCTGAAAATAAGCCAGGTGTATGTGTGTGCAGCCCAAGATCCCAAGAGGAGGATGGGGAAGAAGAGATTGAGGCATCACTATCCCCCCTGCGGGGTTATTTCTCACTTTCCCTCTCTTTGTCTGTCTCTGTCAAGTGCGTGCAACCTACAGCAAAAACCTAAAAAAGAAAAGACAAAAGAATCTTAATACTTAGCTTTATTTTTTTGTTTTACTATAGAGTTTATTTAAATATTCTCATAGTTATGGTTTACTTGTATTATTCACTTTACTATTTCTTTTTAATTCTAGGACAAGCAATCATGGCAAAATGAATATGAAGTCTATAGTTTACCTGGAATGAAGCACGAAAACATATTACAGTTCATTGGTGCAGAGAAACGAGGCACCAGTGTTGATGTGGATCTTTGGCTAATCACAGCGTTTCATGAAAAGGTAAAACTACTTAATTTTTTAAGTAAGAAAGTCAGAGTCAGCCTGCCCACCTGATATTGGTTGTAAATCTCTTAGGTTAGTTTTCTAAAGATGGTATGTTATTTTAGTCAATTAATAGTTAACCTGGGGGCCAGCAGAGGGTGTGGTGGTTATGTTGCTGGACTCCCACTTGGCCAACCGTGGTTTGAGTCCTGGACCTGGTGGCTTCAAAATTATGCCAGGGATGTGTGTGTATGTGTCCACAATCCCAGGAGAAGAATGGAGAAGAAGGGATTGTGGTGGGGCCATCTCCCTGGGGGGGTGATTTCATATGTTGTCTCTCACTGTCCCTGTCTCTCTCTCTCTCTTTTAAGAGTGCATGTGCTCTATGGCTAAAACCTCTTAGAAAAAAATATAGTAACCTGTATATATAGATCACTCAGATACAAATCTATTTAAAAAACTAATTTATTTTAATAGATAAAATAAAAGAACAGAGATGGCAACTGATTACGTGACTCTCTTTTCCTATAATATATCTTCGTCTCTGATCTCTTGTGCGGTAATTACCTCTCTTTCAAATACTTATTTTAGTATAGACAATTGTTAGTGGGTCAGTCTCACAGCCTAGTGTTAAGGGAGCCAAATCCTACATGACCTATTACAACTTGAATCTAACCTTGGCAGTTTGATAAGTATACCAAGTGTGTTTATGTGCGTATCCCAAATCCTGTCAGGATGGAGAAATGGAGAAGAAGGGGTTGCAGTGTAATCTCACCCCACTAGAGGGAGAACTTTTTCCTTCTCTGTTTTTCTGTGGTAAGCATATGCACTCTCTGGCAATTAAAAAAAACAAAGGTATTGGTTAGTAATTTTTACTTACCATATACAATTTATTTTGTTTATATGAATCATCTTTTCCCCTTGAATTTTGCCCTAAAACTCTTCAATCATTGACAAAATTAGAGGCAGACAATTTATCTGATCTTTAATCTGTCACCAATTTAATGGTAATTATCACTGAAATACATTGCTATTTTTCCTCAGTTTTCTACTTTACAAGTAGAAAAGTTAGTATTAACCTACCATGATTGAAGTGGGATATAATGGTATTTCATCATTGTCAGGGTGTTTGTTTGTTTGTTTTTTAATATAATAGAGGTTTTTGCCATAAAACATGTGCACTCAGCATAAAGACAGACAGAGACAGTGAGAGGGAAAGTGAAAAATCATTCCCCTGGGGGGAAGGTTGTGCCTCAGTCTCTTCTCTATTTTCCTCTTCAGATATTGGTAATGCATGCACACGTGCCTGGCATGATTTTCAAGCCACTGGGTCTGGGACTTGAAACATGGTTGGCCATGTGGGAGTCTAGCAATGTAACTACTGCACTATCTACTGGCTATGTGGGAGTCCAGCAATGTAATCACAACCCCATCATTGTCAAATTTAAATTACTTTTTTTTTTTTTTTTTTTTTTACTTTTGTATTTTATAACTCTTGTTATAGGGCATGTGCACTTACAAGAGAGAGACAGAGAGGGGAAGTGAGAAATCAAGCCACCGGGTCTGGGCCTTGAACCATAGTTGGCCATGTTAGAGTCTAACTCCTAAACCACCATGCCACTTGCTGGCCACTCTGTTCCCTTTTTTAATGAGGGAGAGAATGAGTTAGGGAGAAGGTATATTTTTTTGACAGAGTCTTGTCATGTCATGACCCTCTACCCCATCTTCTAGTTAGCTAGGATTACAGGTGTATGCTTCCAAGCCTAGCCTGTTTACGTTGGTATGGGAAGTGAACCCGGGCCTCCTGTGGTCCTAGCCTCATGCAGCAATATCCTGCTTAGGCCAGTGTGGCTGGGCCTCTAGAGGAAGATTCTTTGCATTAGTTGTTTATATAATTTTGCATCCCCCCAAGCTCTGTGATATAAGGATATTTTAATTTCTAAAGTATTGTCCAGAAGTTTAGATTTTCAACTGTACTTTCTTTTTTTAAGCCTTTCCTTTCTATATTGGTTAAAACTGATTGTTCTCATAACAAATTAGTAAAGATCAGTGGTAGTCTTTCCTGGTCAAATGTTCATCAATGTAAACAGGACGGATATTTCAGCCATTCCAGAAAGGTTGCTTTTTGGATATTATTATGCACTAAAAGCAAAGATGTGTTGCCTTCCATAACCTCTTATACATTAGAAAGAAGTCTTTCTATCTATCTGTATATAGATGTATGGCTTTTGTCAATATTGTTAAGTACCCCCCTTTTTTTTTAGGGTTCACTGTCAGACTTTCTTAAGGCTAACGTGGTCTCTTGGAATGAACTGTGTCATATTGCAGAAACCATGGCTAGAGGATTGGCATATTTACATGAGGATATACCTGGCCTAAAAGATGGCCACAAACCTGCCATATCTCACAGGTAGAACAAAATTTATTATTTTTTCAAATTAGTTATCCAGTCATGCTCTGAGAGGCAGTTGATTTTCATTTGTTTTTCAATTAGCCAGGAAGTATTTGGGGTAATTTATACGTGGATATTATTGGTAAAGTTTTAATTATCTACTTATGTTTTAATTTGTCTCATTTCCAAAAGCATATTTGAGAATGAAAGTATGTGTTCTCTGTTTCAAGGGAAAAGAAATTTGTTTGACCTCAAAACATAGTTTACTTTAAAGATGTTTATAAATAGGTACAAGGAATGTAATTATGGCAAGACTTTGAATATCATCTTTGCTTGTTTTTGAGTGATCATATGGTCTTTACCCTGAGCTAAAGTAGAGGGAGGCATCTTTTAGATAGTTATTCAGTGAAGTAATAGTATTTAAACCCAGTAATTGTTATACCCTCAAAAGGAAAATGTTCTTTAACCACTAGAATTTCTTTTGTCATCTCTTGGGTTCAATTTAAAGGTGGTTGTTTTCAAAGTAGGCATTAACTGATATTTAACAAATATCTACTTGAGTGCCCTCAGGTGGTGGTTTCGGTTGTGGGAGGCATTACTTTAAAACCAATTCTGATATAGATTCTTATTTTGTAAACTTTAAATGACTTCTACTTCAAATAGTCCCCTTTTGCTGTCATGTGTACATACTATCTTACTACCTCTTCCTGGGTTTTTCCTTGTCCTCCTTAGCTGTGTAGGAAACACATCCTTCAGAGCCTTGCAAATAGAAAAACTTATTAGGAGTAGGAGCCCTGAAAATCTTTGGAGATTAGGGATGGTTTTTGTAGCATTTGAGTGTCTACCTGGCCCTCTTCTATCTCACTTTTGGCCTATGCATACACATAAATCTAATCGGTGGTCGTGGCATAGGTGTATTTATCTAGAGTATAGTAATCTCTAGAACGAGCCATTTAGGGCAGTCTCATGGAGGAGGATATCCTGAAAACTGTTACCCTTTTCAGAACATCAGGATCTGGCCAGAGCTGTGCATTTTTATGGTAAAAAGTTTGTTACACGTTACTAGAGATGCTTCTCTGTAATTAGTTTGAAGAATACAAGGACCATTGTACCATTGTAAGAAACCATTCTTCCTTGTCTTCTTTCTTCTTTTTTTTTAGGTTTTTGCCATAAGGTGTATGTGCTCACTAGAAAGAGAGAGAGAAACACTGAGAAGGAAAGTGAGAAATCACCCCCCAGGGGATGACCATGTTGCAGTCCCTTCTTCATTCTCCTCCTGAGATTTGGGGCATGCATGCACATGCGCCTGGCATGATTTTTTCAGGCTGCCAGGTCTGATACTTGCACCACGTTCAACCATGTGGGAGTCTTGTGTCATAACCACCTTGCCGTTCTAAAATGTAGATTTGTACCAATAGGCAAAAGGCAATTTTTGGTAAACTTTTCTTTTTAATTTTAGTTTTATTGCAAGTTTGTAACTAAACTCTTAAATACTCTTAGCCTTAAAAATAGCCATTTTATGATTGGTGGGTGGGGGTGTCACAGATAAAAGTATTTGGGGGATAACAGTTTTTTATAAAACTGCTTTATGGACAAGATTCCTTCTTTGGTCCATGTTAGGAATAGGAATTTGTCACTGTACTTGAGTGTGTCAAGCTGTATCAAGATTCTGTTTAAGCTTTTTCTCCCTTTTCCTTTCTCTGCATTTGCTTTTGTGTGTTTGTTTTAATGACTTTTTAAAAAATCTCAGTATATTTCAGTCTTATTGCCTCAGCTTTCCAGCTGGTACTCCATGCCTGTACCACCATGCCTACCTCTTTTATAGACAGATCCTTGCTATGTTGGTCAGGTCAGCCTTGAACACCCCATCCTCTGCCTCATCCTTCCAAGCTGCTGAGATTACAGATGCATGCCACCAAACCTGGCCTCTAGGTTGGACCAGAATCCAACTATTGTGGTCCTAGACACCCTGGAGAGCACAGAGTCTTAGCAGTATATACCACTGTGGCTAGGCCCATTTCATACTTTCAAATAACTGTTCTTTTTTAGCATATATATTCTTGCTTTTTGTCACTTTCAATAAAAAAATTTAAAAGATAACTTGTTTTAACTTAATTTGAATATTTTATCTTTCTGTTTGCAAGGGACATCAAAAGTAAAAATGTGCTGTTGAAAAACAATCTGACAGCTTGCATTGCTGACTTTGGGTTGGCATTAAAGTTTGAGGCTGGCAAGTCTGCAGGCGATACCCATGGGCAGGTAAGGGTGATAATTATAATGTAAGAATAAAATGATCTTGCTCCATATTTTCTTACAATAGCATATCAGGATGGAATCACCCTAAAGTTATTATAGTTGTGATGAAGTCAGCATCTATTAAAGAGTTTTATGTTAGATTTTCTGAGACAAACATTTTCATATGATGGTAGAGGACTCAGGTGGTTTAGATCAAGCACTTCATAAAACAGTCCTTAGATGTCATTAGGATTCCTTTTTAAAAACTGATCAAAGAAGAATTTAAGACTTCTAATAGACCTCATTATGAGGGAGTTGTTAGTATTACCTTGAATAGTTTTCAATTTGTAATTCCTTCACCATCTTAAGAGGAGTGAAAGAATAATCAGTCACTATTTTTCTATACTGTATTAAGACTCTTTGCCAATTTCTTTGCACAACGAAGATATGTTTATTACTTCTTGCCTTTAACTGCTTCATTAGCTATTTATTTGACTTGATAGCTTTTCTCTGAATTTACTCCAGAGGTCAAAGCACTTATAAAGTCCTGTGTGTGGTATCTAATTTTTGTTAAGGTCTGCAGAAAGAGATCTCAGCAATGCAAACCTTTAGGAAGGCCAAAAGGGAAAATAACATTTATCCATATATTTTATCTGAAGAAACTGTGAGCCTAGGGAAGGTTCTTTCTTTCACTCTGATAAAATCACATTTTAATCAAGAAAAACAGTTTGATTTAATAGGTAACATTGTCTATAAAGCCAAGTGATTCAGGCTTTGGTAATATTTTTTGATCTTTCGTATTATGCACATTGTTCGGCAGCTAATTCATAGCTTTCTTTTTCTGAGCATATCATATTGATCTCCAAGAACAGTTACAATCATGACACAACAAATTTTGGCAACATCGATGAACTATTTAAGAATGTAATTTACGGCAGTGGTCTTCAGTCATAGTTTAAGAAACATTGACACTAAGTGTATTGGGAATGGAGTTTTTGAGAATACTAATGAGGTGGAGATTGTGTAGGAAGCCTAGGGACAGACTTCTGTACTAATTATATGACTGACTACCATCAGACTGAATTTGAGGAATTTTATATTTTATTACCTCATTATCTCTCTCCCCTGTTTTTCCTAGAAAAAAATTTGGGATTCATTCATGTCATCTTTCAACTAGTGATTGGGTTGATGAAGTATAAGTCACTAATTGCTTAATTAGCGCATTGGTTCCTTGACTTTAGATTTCTTGGATCGGAAAATTAAAAAAAAAATATTTGGAGGACTTGCATGTTATTGCACACTTTTTGTATTGTATATACAGAAGACTGGGAAATCTATTTATTATCATCATTGATATATAAAAGAGAGGAATTTTACACTAAGAGGGAGATAAGCCATAATCCCATAATTAAATTATGGTACACTGGATATGCATACATGTGTCTTTAATGAAAATGTACTCTTGGAAAACATTTAGTATGGTACAATTAAAATAGTTATTTAGGGTAGCAAAAAATCCTCACTTTTTCTTTTGTAGTCTTCATTATAAAGTTACTAAAAAGCTTCAACTTTAGAGGCTTAAAATGATCTGTCCTTATTTTGTTTGTTTGTTTATATGTAGGTTTTTTGCTATAGGGCATGTGTGCTCACCAGAAAGAGACATAGGGAGGGAAAGTGAGCAGTCACCTCCCAGGAGGATGGCTACACTAAGTTGCTGGAAATAGAGACAAAGAACTCCAAGACAGAAGAATTCATGAATAAATGAATACACTTTGCAGCAGAAAAGGGGTGTATGTGTGTGTGTGTGTGTGTGTGTGTGTGTGCGTGTGCGTGTGCGTGCGTGTGCATACATATGTATTTACCTTTTACTTGGCTAATTCTTTGTACAACATTTTATAATGTTTGTTAGATTTTTATTTACTTTATTGCCAGACGGCATGTGTGCTCGCCCCAGAGGGGGAAAAAGCACCTCCGTGGGCATGGTTATGTGGCAGTCCCTCTCTCCATTTTCCTACTCCAACAGGATCTGTGGTGTGCACACACACATGTGCACCTGTTTTTCAAGCCACCAGGGCTGGGATTTCAAGTCACCATAGCTGAGATCAGCTATGTGGGCTTGCACTCCCTAGGCACAGAGCTTAACCACTGTGCTACAGGGTTGATCCTATTAGGTTTTTTTTTTTTTTTTTTTTTTTTTTTTTTTTTTTTAACCAAGAATACAGAGAAAAACACTAGATGTCATGGTAGGTAAAATGGCCAAATGCCTGCTTTGACTTCCTGACACAGTGGCTTAAAAAACATGCTGGACACTTGTATGTGTGTGCCTCAAACCCTGAAAGGAGAAATGGAGGAGGGATTGTGGCATGGCCATCCCCCATGGGGGCTGCTTTCTCTCTCTCTCTGGAAGTGCACCCCTCCCCCCCCTGAAAGTGATATATTTTACATTCATTTCAGACCGTATATAAACAGGCAGTTGAATTATGTCCAGCTTTCTTTTTTTTGGGGGGGGGAGAGGTTTTTGCTATAGGGCGTGTGCGCGCTCACCAGACAGACAGACAGACAGACAGAAAGCAAGAAATCACCCCCCAGGGGGGATGGCCACACCGCAATTCCTTCTCCTCCGTTCTCCTCTTGGGATCTTGGGCACGCACGCACACGGCGTTGAGTTTAAGCCACCGGGTCCGGGACTCGAACCGCGGTCGACTACGTGGGAGTTCAGCGACATAGCCATTACGCTAACTGCTGATCCCATGTCCAGCTTTTTGTATTCTATCCTTTTCCTGGAAAAGTCATTGTTTAATTTCTTGTGATTACTTCTAGAAAGAGGTAAAAATTCTAAGCCTGTACTAGCATGTCTTCTGATACATTTCTTAAGTATCCAAAAGAATCTTACCATTTTATACTCAATAATATGATGGTTATAGTTACCTTGTCCATAAATATACCATATTTTGTTTTGATTTTTTTTTTACAAAATGAAAAATAGTTCATAAGTTAGGGAACTCTTTGTTTTTGATATCACTTTCAGGTTGGTACCCGGAGGTATATGGCTCCAGAGGTGTTGGAGGGCGCTATAAACTTCCAGAGGGATGCGTTTTTGAGGATAGATATGTACGCCATGGGGTTGGTCCTGTGGGAACTGGCTTCTCGTTGTACTGCTGCAGATGGTAAGGAACAATTTTTTTTTTTAAGTGTGTGTATGTATATACTACCATAAATATATGAAAAAGGATGATTACACTCTGAGGTAATATTTAAAGTACAGACTCCAAGAGGTAGTAGGGAACTCAGGAGGCAGAGGGTGAAGAAGGGAAATGAAGTGATATGTATTGATATTTTACCATTAATGGATGTTTTACTTGAGAGTTCACATACCTTCTTGAGCTTATTTCCTAAAACAACTTAGAAGGTAGTTATTATTATCAGTTTTACAGATGAGGAAATTGAGACTCAGAGGAATTAAGTAGCTTGCCTGTTTAAACCTCAAGCTGATAAATGGTAAAACCTCCAACTGAAGCTCTAATCCTAATGTAGGGTAGGGCTGTGCTTTGGTTAGGTCCTGTGGGTCTACCCCCTGCCTTCTAGAGTCAGCTCTTGTGGTGAGAGGAGACACATGTAGAGCCACAGGGATTTTGCCTTCTCAGGTAATTCAGCTATCTGTTTAGCTCTCAGGTAATGCTAGTGAATACCTAACAGATTAAATTTAATCCATCCTGTATGAAACAACTGAGTGTGTACTACAGGTTAATTTCTGCTCCTTGGGACCAGCAGATGGCGAAATGGTTATGTTGCTGGACTTACACATAGTCAACCCTGGTTTGAGTCCCAGACCTGGTGGCTTAAAACTCACATGGGGGAGCTTTTGCGTGCATGCCTGAAATCCCAAAAGGAGGACGGAGGAGTAGGGATTGCAGCATGGCCATCCCCTCTCGGGAGTGATTTCTCGCTTTCTGTCTCTCTGGAGAGCACACACCCCATAGAAAAAAATCCACTCTCTCTCCCCCCAAAAATATTGTTTCCGTAAAGTCTTGAAAGTTTGGTCAGATATAAACATTATTGTGATAATTAGTCACATTCCCTGCCTCTGCACCTTAGTTCTGAAGAGTTATTTATTCTTGTAACTGAAGTCCTCATCCAAGTTCAGTAAATACTGTTTATTATTAGTCTTGGGCGAGCCTGCTGCTGTATTCTTAGTGTGACAGAACTACAGGGTGCTAGGTACTTTGTCTTTAGTGCTGCTTCTACTCCCTATTCATACATGTTGCAGCTCTTTTTATGGATTACATAAGGCAGACTTCTGGACTGCTGAACTCCCAAATGTAAATGAGCTCGGAGATTTTATTACAATTTATAAATGCCTAAAAACTTCCTGCAGTTGTCAAAGACCATAAAAGAAGTTGTGTTGAATACTTAAAAAGGTATAGCCAACTTAATATATGTTAATAAGAGTATTTTATTTTCTAAGTGCTATATTACGTTACTAGTATAGGACTGCCTGTCTCTGGAGTGCGAGCTTCTTTGGGCACTATACTTTTTTTATTTTATATTTTATACATATATAAACACACACACACACAAACTTACACTTTGTAAAAAGGATTTTGCCCTAGGGAGTGTGCACTGGTCAAGGAGAGACAGGAAAAATGAGAAATCATCCCCTAGCAGGGATAGCAGTACCATAATTCCTTCTCCATTCTTGTTCTTGCATGTTGGGCATGCACACACACATGCACATGGTGTGATTTTCAAACCACCACATCTAGGACTCAAACCATGGTCAGCCATGTGGAAGTCCAGTGCCCTAACTGCCATGCCACTTGCTGGCCCTTGGGCACCATACATTTAAAGGGCACTTATTGGAGTGCCCAGAAATGGGCATTTATTCATCCTGCACTGGGAGTTTGCCTTGGGAAAAGATCCAAAACCTAAGAGAGGTTGAAGCAGTTCGGGAATAATTTTAGCTTAACCTATAGGGAGAAGAGTAAGCTGTTCAGTGGATTTTTTTTTTTTTTTGGAGAGATTTTCACTGTAGGGCGCGTGCGCTCGCCAGCCAGCCAGAGAGAGACATAGAGACAGAAAGCGAGAAATCACCCCCCAGGGGGGATGGTCACGCCGCAATCCCTTCTCCTCCATTCTCCTCTCGGGATCTTGGGCACGCACACACACGCGCCCGGCGTGAGTTTTAAGCCACCGGGTCCGGGACACGAACCGCGGTCGACTACGTGGGAGTCCAGCGACATAGCCATTACGCTAACTGCTGGTTCCCGTTCAGTGGATTTTGAGTGACAGTGCATTGATGAGATGAGGAATTATATTTATTATTAAGTGCACTTATGGAATTAGAAGTAGGTCAGATGACAGATGTGACAGGAAAATATATTTCAAAAGAATTTTATTAACATGAATTCTCCATAGCAAACCATTGAGTTAGGTGTTATGAGGAACACAAGGTCCCATCCTCAAGTAATTTATAGTTTAAGCAATAAAAGATTCCACAGACAGTTAACTCTAGAGTAAGTGTGAGTTATCTAGCCCAATGCTTATTAGTATTCAGCAAATGTTTGTGGATGAATTCAGTACCTGTTAGACTGTTATGGAAAGAATGGTTTTCACGGACATTTTTATGGAAAAAGAAAAAGATGCTGACTTTTCTTCAATACCTTAAATGTGCCACAAAAGATTGCAGAGTCAGATATTTCCGACTCAGCTCAGAAATTGGGGCAAAAGGGATAGTGTGAAGAACATTGCTAAAGTGGGTCTTTGAGATTTGTTGAGGCTAGTTGATTAAACAAACTTTAACATACCAGACTCCTGGCAATGTTCTGAAAATTCATATTCTTACTTAGTAGATCTGGGTTAAGGTCTAAGACTCTTAATTCTTACAAGCCACCTGTTGATGCTAGTGCTGCTGACCTGCGGATCACACAAAGGTTGAACAGACCTCTTAGAAAATCAGCACTCTTAAGTCAGTAGAAGTGCTCAAGCAGACTGACCGTCCAGCCATCAAGGATTCTTACATTTGAAAGGGTTGACTTAGAGGACTCTTTCCGTATCCAGGAGTATGTGATGCATTTTAAGAGTCTGCACAAAATATGTTCATGTACACACACATCTGGTCACTTGTTCCCATCGAAGGTAAAAGGTACAGTAGAAGCAGATTGTAGTCATTTAGAGATGAATTCAAATTCTAACTCTGCCTCTTAATACCTGTATGCTTTTGTGCAAATACATAATTTTCCTGAGTTTCTTCATCTGTAAAGTAAGAGATAATGTCACCTTCACCTATGAAGATAAATGTGTAAAGTTCCTATTTAGGATAAGTGCTCAGAAAGTATTAGTTAACTCCTAAGTGCATTTTCCTATTTATTTGAGAAGACCTTAAGAAAAAAAGGAATTGTCGAATAAATCTTGTCTGTGAAAGTACACTGTACATGTTGGGAACCCCAGTGAGCAGATGTTGTAGTTGTTAAAGTAATAAACATGTATTGATCTTAGCTCTTGTGAGAGGGCAGTGTTGTGACTGTGGTACATAATTCTTCCAGGAGGATACTGGGGGTAGTGGTTGGGCAATAGCATAGAATGAAGATGGTTTTATGATTGGATTTAGTCTCCAGAGATACAAATACCACTGTTAACATTCTGATCTGAATTGCAAGTTCTTTAAAAAAGTGGTACTGTGTCTCTGGTTTGTAAAATCGGTTATTCCCTATATTCCAATGCAGATGAAGATAAGCATTCCTCATATGATAGTTAAGTAAGCCCCTTAACATGCTCCTTTGCAAGGTTATATGCCAAAACATCAACCTTTTGATTTCCTATCAATCAGAGTTTGGTCACAGTGTAAACATAATTGTGAGTCTGTTTTCTCCTGTTATTATAGCATGTAAACAGCTAGAAAATAGTTATACAGTAACTTTAGAATTTTTGTACCAGTTTGAGAGGAAGATTTTAACTAAAATGATTTTTCTTTTGTTACATTTCAGGACCTGTAGATGAGTATATGTTGCCATTTGAGGAGGAAATTGGCCAGCATCCATCTCTTGAAGATATGCAGGAAGTTGTTGTGCATAAGAAAAAGAGGCCTGTTTTAAGAGATTATTGGCAGAAACACGCTGTAAGTTACAGTTAGTGTTTCATTTGAAATTCCAATAAAACACTTTTCATAGGAATGATTTTCTCTCTGCACATTTCTCTTTATTCTGGGAAGGTTTTCTGGAGGCGATGATCTTCCCAGGATATTATGTACTAGTTTCAGAGGCAGTGGAATCAGGGCTGTCTTGTGTATGCCTGTGAAGGACAGTGTGAAGTCATCAAGTCTTAGAAGTCTCCTAGCTCCATGGTCCTAGCCATAGAAGACAAGGCTAAGTCTTCTATTAGGAAGGCTTCCCAGGGAAAAGAACGTCTGGCTCTGAGCTTACGGATAGTTGAGTAACCTTGCTGATCACTACTTTCCAATCTGATGCCATTTTAAAAAGCTTATTCAGTACTGTTTCTCCTCTCTACAGTTTCTTTTAGCTTTTTGACTTGGGCTTTGAAGACTTTGAAGTTCTTACGAATGTGTTAAAGCTAGAGAAAGGTAGAGGAGGAGGGAACAATATTGCTCTGGTTGTTAATTTTCTAACCACAAGATGAAAACGCTGATATTAATTAACTAAGAAAAGAATAACTGGTATGCCCCATTTTAGCTTTGGTTTTGAGTCTGTCTAGTTCAAGGGTTAACACTGAAATGACCCGATTCCTAAAGAATGCATAAGAGATACTTGGAATTAAAACAAAACAAAGAACTCTGTTGTAATTATTTGCAGTCCTAACGACGACAAAGAACAGATTTTTTTTTTTAAGTGCTTTTCTTCATGGTCCTGCACAGGATACTCAGTAAAAGAGAATATTGGCAAATACCTAACTTTGGTAATCTAGAAACCTTTTGACCAATAAAAGAAGCAATTTCTTTTGAAAATTTTGTTTCTTAATCAGAGAACAAAAACTGCTGTGGTGTTTGAATATGTTTTTCTCCTTTAGGGAATGGCAATGCTCTGTGAGACGATAGAAGAATGCTGGGATCACGATGCAGAAGCCAGGTTATCAGCTGGATGTGTAGGTGAAAGAATTACGCAGATGCAAAGACTAACAAATATCATTACCACAGAGGACATAGTAACAGTGGTCACGATGGTGACAAATGTTGACTTTCCTCCCAAAGAATCTAGTCTATGATGGTTGCACCATCTGTCCACACTAAGGAATGGGACTCTGAACTGGAGCTGCTAAGCTAATGAAACTGCTTACGGTCTGTTTTCTGTGTGAAATGAGTAGGATGTCTCTAGGAAACGTCAGAAAGAAGACCATTGTTGACCAATGTTGCCCTGGGAGACTTACTGCATTGCCTACAGCACAGATGTGAAGGACACAAGACTAAGAGAAAAGTTGCAAATTCTAGAGAGAAACTTTTTAAAAAGTGTACATGAAGAATGTGGCCCTCTCCAAATCAAGGATCTTTTGGACCTGGATAATCGAGTGTTTGAAAACTGACATCAGATTTCTTAATGTCTGTCAGAAGACACTAATTCCTTAAATGAACTACTGCTATTTTTTTTTAAAATCAAAAAACTTTTCATTTCAGATTTTAAAAAGGGTAACTTGTTTTTATTGCATTTGCTGTTGTTGTTTCTATAAATGACTATTGTAATGCCAATATGACACAGCTTGTGAATGTTTAGTGTGCTGCTGTTCTGTGTACATAAACAAAAGTCATCAAAGTGGGGTACAGTAAAGAGGCTTCCAAGCATTACTTTAACCTCCCTCAACAAGGTATACCTCAGTTCCACGGTTGCTAAATTATAAAATTGAAAACACTAACAAAATTTGAATAATAAATTGATCCATGTTTTGTAACAAGGTATTACAAATTCACTGTGTTATTTAAGAAAAAAAGGTAAGCTATGTTTAGTGCCAATAGTAAGTGGCCATTCGTAAAGCAGTGTTTTAACTATACTTGTGCTGACTTGTAATTTAGGGGGGAAAATGTGCTTTTTTCTTTAAATGAAAAAATGGTGTCATTTCCCATTCCCATGTTTTAAAGCTTCATCTTTTATCCAGTTCCCAAAATATTGCATACTTACCTAAGTATTTTTTTTTGTTTTTGTTTTTTAGGTGTGCTGTGTTTGGGGAATATTTGAAAATTTAAAGCATGATTTAAATTTTTTTAAGTGAGCTGTGACACTGGAAAGCTCTTCATTTTATCTTCTAAAATAGATATTTTTTTCCTATTTATATATGTAATATTGTGTATTTCTTTTCATCAAACAGTGTGCGGGACATTCTTTATCACTGTTTTAGGATCACCTCAGGAAGTGTCATTACCCAGAATTCCTCACTCTGCTTTGAGACTTGTAACTTTAATCACAATACTTCTGGTTGGTGCCATCTTGTCAGAGTAATATTTGATGTCTGTGATATCTGAAGAATCACCATAGGATAGAGGTATTAAACTTAAGCACAGATTTCAGATGTTACTGCTTTAAAACAAATCAGGGATAACAAGTTAAACCTATAACGTAAAATATGCAATGGCATTTAGAGGTAACCAATGTTGATATAGATAACATAGCCTAACTTCCTCCCCCAGATTGTTTCCACAACTGTGATATCAGTTTAGGATAGCTCATGCCTTATCCTTGCTAAGAAAATGGAATGGATGGTAGGTAGGTGCCAAAGTGCTTTTCAAGACAATATTACATTAGAATTGGATTCTCCCCCAGATTCATACAGGCCAAAGTAAAACATTAATTTCTAGATTGCTAACCAACAAATAACCAGTATTATACTGTATACTTTTGTCAGGTCATTCATAATCCATTAATTTTATAAAAATGTTTTTCACATGTCACTGGGAATACGTTATCTTCAAATGATCATTTAACCACACAGTACACTAACTTTAAATATAATGTGCACTTGATCTCTGGGAATAATAATGAGTTATGTTATTTATAAATACTACATAGGTGAACAGATTCTAAGCAGGGAGGAAAACAAGAGTAATAACATTCTTGTCCGTGTGTCACCCACCAGAAAGAACTGTTTGTGCTCTTGGTCACGTATGTACCCAAGGTCTCACTGTATTCCTAGGAATTCTCAACTGCAGTGTTGAATTCAGATCTTTATTTCAAAAAGTACTTGGCCTCTAAATTTCTTGATCTGGTTTTGTTTCCACTTTGAAAGGAATGAAGAAGAGGAAAAAAAACTGAGAATGTGAATACAAGAAAATTGTTAACTTCCTGAAGATAATTATCTGTTGGAAACATCTAACCTTTTAAAAAGTTTAAAAAAAATCAAAACAGAAATAAACAAGGGATATCAATGAATGTTTGGCTTATGTGAGCATTAGAGATAATTTTATAAAACCAGTTATTCATGATATAAAATGTTTTCTCATGTTAAGGTAAATTTTCTTACAACTCCTGGGTATTGTACTTAACTCTAGCTAACCAGTTTTAAAACTTATATCCTTTTGAGAACTATTAACAGAAAAACTTTTTTTGTAAGCAGTAAATTAAGAATGTTCCAGTGACTACCTGTGCTGATACCCAGTCTTGTTAAAACTTTCTTTTGCAGGGCATTTTAGTGTTTGGTTTACAGTCAGTGCAGAGTGGGCAAGTTAAAATTTGAGCTAGGGATACTAGAATAAAAGATCTGAAAAAAATGGTGATTTCTGTTTTGGGGCAAAATGAAACCCCAGTAACTTTTTCCTCATGTGTATGGTGCTCCTCATGATCTGTCTTATATTTTACCTTTTTGATACCCATCAGAATTGCTGCTCTAACTAAAACTCTTTACCTTGCCCAGATCTCCGTGTAAGGAATGCTTTATGATCAACTGCCATAGGACTGATGGATTAACCAGTATTTGGCTTTATTTGAAGTCTATGCCCTGCACAGCTCTTGTATGTATTAGATACTAGGAAGTTTTTAGCATGTGATGTGTGATTCTTGTTTGAATGTTTATTACAGATATCTTGTGAATTCCAGAACAGAGACTGTGCCTCACGATTATTAGTCCCATGAACTTGCACTACCTTTCATGGTGATATTTTGAAAATACAATCAGGAAAAAAAAAAATCACACCTTTGAATTTAAATATAGAATCATATATCGTGAAATTAAAGAATCTCTTCTGCCCCCTTTCCTCACTACTAAATAACAGCTACTTTCAAGTAAAATGCAAATGGTAGGAAAAAACCCTAGCCAGATGGTAGTTTAGTGGAATAAACTGATTACTGTTTTTCAAAAAAGGGAAAAAAAAAAGCTTTATCGCGGATATTTTCCAATTTCTCTTTTTTACTTTTATGGAAAATTACTTTTTAGGAATACTTGGTATAATGTGTGTAAAATTATTTACTGACTTATGGACAAAATGATACAAGTAGCATCTTGATTGAACATCATTTACCTCAGATATTCAACCAGCAGTACATTTTTTATGCAGTCTCAACCCATAACCTATTTGTTACCTCTCAAAATATCGGTAAGCAGTTATTTTAGCTTTACTCTGTATTTCTTGTCAGTGTTTTGGGCACAGGTTGTTATACTACTGTCAAATCATACTTGCTATTTTTTTTTTTGCAAGTATTTAACAGAAAGCTAAAAAAAAAAGAAACCCTTAAAACCCACCTTGGATAAGTGATTGTTAAATATTGTACAAATAAAATGTATGCTATCCCCATTCCATTCCCAAGTTAAATAAAAAAATGAATATGGTATGATTTGCTTATGTAGTTTTTCTTTAGCTATACATTCTTCTTAAAGAGGGGAATAATAGCTTTATAATTTATAGTGAGGCTTTATACCTTGAGATTTGCAAGAATGAGGATAGTGGTGAAAGAAGGGAGGCATTTACCTCCTTTGTTGTTTAAGCAGATTGTAATACAATCCAAGAATATTGTTGGTCCTGCCAGTATGAAGTCAAAGGCTTGTTGGCACTGGGTCACACTTCACACTGGCAGTTTGTTTTTGGAGGAGCAGCACTTAGGCTGTGGGGGTATGAAAGAACACACACTGACTTCAGATTGCATAAGCAAACCATGATGGAATCTGCACTGAATCTACAGAAGGGTGGAATCCTTTTCTACAGCATGTTTTGCAAAACACTGATTCTCTTTATTTTTTGGAGAGGTTTTTGCTATAGGGCACGTGCACTCGCCAGACAGACAGACAGAAAGCGAGAAATCACCCCCCAGGGGGGATGGCCATGCTGCAATCCCTTCTCCTCCATTCTCCTCTGGGGATCTTGGGCATGCACACACATGTGCCCGGCGTGAGTTTAACCCACTGGGTCTAGGATGTGAACCATGGTCGACTACATGGGAGTCCAGCGACATAGCCATTACACTAACTGCTGGTCCCAAATCACTGATTCTTAAGGAAGTGAATAGATAAAATGCTTTCAATATAGATGGCTTTTAACAATTAAGTTTGGACCAGACAGGTTTTAATTCCTCAGAGCCACTCACATGGATGTGAATTGAAGAGGTCTTTTTAATAACTGTTTTTGGTGGGCCACTTGGAGGGAATACAGGAGTAAAGACTGTACTTAAGTAACACTCCTCCTCATTCATTTTTTAATGAACAGGGAATTTTAGTTTTTGGTTTGGTTATTTTTCCTCCTCTGGTAAATGAAGAAGATACCTTTTAAGCCAGGCTTGTTAAATATACATTATTCTTGAAAGTTTTCATTCTCGGGTTTCCGGATTTTTTTTTTTTAATTAATGAGATTAAACAGTTTATGAGATGAAGTTAGTTCTAAACTTGGCAAATACATTTTAGCTTCCTTGTATTAGGGAACGTGGAAAGATGGACATGAACATTCACGTTACCTACAAAAATGTCTTGGAAATGTAAGTATATTTAACTCGTATTTGTTAACCTGTTTATTTCCAATTTGCTTTATGTGTATTTCATGTTTACTTACATTACTGAAAATGAAAACCCCACCTTGCTACTTAAGTTTTTAAATCTGTGTATCTGGTTGTTGATGGATCTTCTGTAGTTCTTATGTGGCTAGGGATGCAGATGAGAGGACTCAGCTTCTAAGTGGCATCTTAAGTTAATAAGAATGCAATCTTCAAGTCAGTTCATTAAGCTACTACTGTTTAAACGGCATTGTCCTAAAATATTTCAGAAGATATTTTTAAAAGGAAAATTAAGGCTCAAACATAAAAATCCTAGTTTCTAGTAATAAACATGATGCTCTCAGCAGTTAAATAGTTTGGCAAAATATCCCCTAAAAATATATACAGTAACAGTATGCAAGCCTTAGTTTTAATGAGACATTGCTAAAAAGTAAGTGACAGTGATCTGAAGACTTATAAGCCTCTCTCCCCCCAACCCCCCCAGGGAAAGAAAGGCTACATATGCAAAGAATTGGCTCTAAATATTGAAAAGCTACTTGCTACTTCTTTGCAGAAATCTTACATTCAACATCCAAGACTTCTTTTTTTTTTTTTTTCCTTTGGAGAGGTTTTTGCTATAGGGCGTGTGCGCTCGCCAGACAGAGACAGACAGAGAGCGAGAAATCACCCCCCGGGAGGATGGCCACGCCTCAATCCCTTCTCCTCCATTCTCCTCTTGGGATCTTGGGCACACATGCACATGTGCCCAGCGTGGGTTTTAAGCCACCAGGTCCAGGACGCAAACCGCGGTTGACTACGTGGGAGTCCAGCGACATAGCCATTACGCTGGTCCCAACATCCAAGACTTCTTAAAAGCTAGATATATTGTCCTTTAGAGCATATTTAAAATCAAACCTGAGTTAAGTTCCAGGGAGTCAGTCATTCCCATCCTGTGCGATGCTGGACACTGTCACCCGTGGTTTCAGTTTTCAAATCTGTAAGCGACAGTTCTTGTATCTCATGGGGGCTCTGTCATTTATATGTACTGTAAGTTACACAAGGATAGGGGCTCTGTCTTTCAGATAGTTACCAACACTCACTGAATGCTTCTTAAATTTCATTTGAAGTAAACCTGGAATGGTTCATGATTTCCTGAATTTACACTGTAATGCTCTGACTGACACTCCCACATTCCTCTTAAGGGTTTTCTTTAAATATTTTTTTTTGCCAGAGGGCACATGTGCTCACCACAGAGGGAGGGAGAGGGACAGCACTCCTTAATGGGGCATGGTCATATCACAATCCCTCTCCGCCATCTCTCCATCACAGCAGGACTTTTGTGGATGCACACATTTTGCTCAATCTATTTTTTAAGTCACTGGGGTAAAGATTCAAACTGTTCAGCCAGCCATGTGGGATCTGGCTCCTTTGACCATTAGGCTGTGGCAACTGCCCTTAACAATTTACTTTTTGATATAGTGAATTCAGCTAATGCTGCCAAAAACTTCCCATAATTAGTAGAAGTGGTTTTCCTGGAACACTCCGAGGTATTGCTAATGTGGCCAATTCTGGTCCTTTTGGCTTAGGGTAGGCTCAAGAATCTGCATTAAATAAATCGTGCAGAGGATTCTCAAGTACATAGAATGAGTATCGTATTTTAAGAAGTCTGGAAGAGAAATATTCAAACACCTTGCCTTTCTATGAGAATCATCCTCTAGCTAAACTGGTCAGTATCCTAAATTAGAAGACCTGGTCTAGAATATATATCCAGAATTTGCAGAAAATAAAAATGCAGCACCCTTACATGGCTTAAAACTCCTGCCAAACACATGTACGTGTGTGCCCATAATCCCGAGAGGAAAATGGAGAAGGGATTCAGGCGTGGCCAACCCTCTGGGGCGTGATTTCTTGCTTTTTGTCTGGCTTTCCAGTGAGCAAGCTCATCCTGTAGCAAAAAAAATCTCTCTTAAAAACAAAACAAAAAAAACATCTATACAGTAGGTTGAAGTGAACTCTTCAGATGGACCACATTAATACCTCACAAGTGTTCAACGGGCATATGGTCCAATCCCTAAAACAGTCACATTTTATCCTTTTGAACTGCTGCTGAACAACATAATCTAAACCAGTCACTGGAATTATAAATTATGTAACTGCTCATGATTTAAAGGTAAGACACAGCCAAAATAACTATATTTATAACAGTTTTCTGCAAATACAAAAATGTTTATAAATAAAAACATGTAATAACATATCTTCTTACAGAACAATAATTTCTAGTTCCTTAGGGACATATTCCGGAAACCCCAAAACTGAAGTCACTGGTTATATCATAACCAGCTTAGTGAGGATGTTGCCCACTGCCTAACATCCGTGGGACAGTTGGGGTATTTTTGCAAGGCGTTCATGATTTGAGTATTATCCAAAAGTAGTTTCATCAGCTGGTACTCTCTCTGTGAATTTACTGAAGTTCTTTCCATAGGCTTTATTAGTTCTAATTGTTGCAAGTGTTCAAAAGCCTAAAAGATGAGAGAAATAGTTCAGCATGAATGGGGAAAGAAAGTAAGTCAACCTGGAAAAGAGTAAAGCTTTTTTTTTTTTTTTTTGTGGAATGGAGTACCACAAAACCAAATGCTAACAGAAATCAATAAGGCTCAATACCAACTCTCATCAGGCCTATACGAACTTCACCTTATCAGGTAAAACCATGTCCACGCAGTTATCTGTCCATGTACTGTTGAATGTCAATGGAGCAAACTTCCGTTCAGTCTGCACACTATGGTTTTGTTCCTAACCACATCCTGTGTCATCGTGCCTCCCAGTACTTCATTAACGAAGTTTCCCAGTTTTCCTCAGAAAAATCCAAGATTGTGATAAGACTTGATTACTTAGGTTACTCAAATTTGCATTTATATTTTGTTTCTACCTTCTAAGACTTCTCTGTATAAGTTTACCACAGCTGTAACAAAGGGAGGCAACAAAGATCTCCAGGCCCACAAAGCCTATTCAGTTGATTCTGGAAATGAATGATTCAGTCATGTGGTCTGGACATGGAGGAGTAAGAGACTGTCACAATCTATGAACAAGTTCCTTTCCTCTACCTTAACATACGGCTTTTTAACTGCCTGCTTCCTTTTACTCCTGATATTCATGTATTATGTCTTTTCTAACCTTTGTTACTGATTTAGGTATATTTTTCGGGTATTAAAAAAAAAAAAGCATTGAATTGTGAGAAACTATTCATTAAATAGTGATATATTAAATCCCTGAGCATTTTATTCCTATAGCTCATGAAAAATATATTCTGTATGTATTGTAAAAATTCTTCTGATGAAAATGAATAGATAACATTCACTTCTGAAAATGAGTAAATTTTGGAGTCTACAGGTATTGGGGCTGAATAAAACTGAAGATATTTAAAATATTTTTAGGCAACAAAAATACTTATTGAAAATACAGAAGTGAGAAGATTTAAATTATTCATAAGAGAATTTAAATGTTTAGGTAACCTTTCCACTTGGACAGCTCCCACAAACTATCTGATAATGGAGTTAGGAGTTAGAAGGAAATAAATAACCTCTTTATTTCTTTGAAGAAACATCAGTATCCTGTATTTTTTTTTTTAAGACTTTTGCCATAGGGGGTGTGCACTTGTTGGAGAGACAGAGGGGAAGCAAGAAATCACTCCCGAGGCGATTCAAACTGTGGTCAGCCTTTCAGAGTCCAGCATCTTTATCACCACACTACCTGCTGGCCCTCACTTTTTTTTTTTTTTGTTACTACAAGAAATATAATTGTAACTATTAGGACTTAAAAGGGAAACCACTGGACTTAGGGGTTTATTGCTTTAAAAATAAATAAAAGCTTGTTCCCAAATAGTAATTTAGAGCTGCACTATCTATACAAGACTATTGAACATGTGAAATATGAGCCTCAATTTTTAGTTTAATTTTCACTAAACTTAAATTTAAAACTGATACTTAGTTCAATTAAAAAAATTGTATGTGTGTCTGGAACAACTTCAAAATACAGAATCTATGGGGGACCAGCAGCTGGAGTAGTGGCTATGTCTCTGGACTCCCATGTAGTCGACCATGGTTCGATTCCCGGACCCGGTGGCTTAAACTCAAGCCGGGTGCATGTGCGTGTGTGCCCAGGATCTCAAGAGGAGAATGGATTGCGGTGTGGCCATACCCCTAGGGTGGTGATTTCTTGCTTTCTGTCTGGCAAGTGCACGTGCCCTATGGGAAAACTTCTCCAAAAAAAAAAAGTGCCTGTGCCTTTGTGAAAAATTTCCCAAAAAAAAAAAAAAAAAAGAATCTATTTTGTTGTTTATAAATTTTATAGAATCTAATGAGCAGGTATTTCCAATGAATATCTAGTGAACTGAAGTGTGCTTTAAGTGTAGACAAACAGAAGTTCAAAGATTCAATACAAAAGAAACTAAAGGAAAATACTTCATTAATAATTTCCTATATTGATTACAGATTCTGAAGATATACTGAGTTAAATATATATACTGGGGCCAGCAAATGGCATAGAAGTTACATTGTTGGACTCACACATGGCTGACTGAGGTTTGAATCCTGGACCTAGTGGGTTGAAAATCAGGCCAGGTGCACATGTCCACATGCCCAAGATCTCAGAAGGATACTGGAGTACGGATTATGTGTGGCCACCCCCAACCTGGGGCATGGCGGGGTGATTTTTTCACTTCCCCCCTCACTATCTGTCTCTCTCTCTAGTGAAGTCATTTTACCTGTCCCTTTTTACTTTCTTATGGTTACTAGAAAAATACAATATGTCATGTGGCTCACATTAGGGTACAATGGTACCCTAAAATAAAGTCCTCAAGGTTTTAAAAGTCATGCCTCAGTCACCACCCCCACAATAAAACTCTCTGCATGCCCTCACTAGTCAATGAGATTTTGTCCTTTCAGTTTCTTACTGGCTCTTATCTGCATTATTTGTCTCCTTTTACTGATGAGAATATAAAGCCAATCCTTGGGTTAAAAAGACATACTTATGTGTTTTGACTGTAATTCCTCCCTAGGATGTAAGCAGTATGAACGGACAGCAGAGGGCACTATACCTCCACAAACTGCAACATAACCAGACTTTAAATTACTTGAACATTTCATTTTTAGATCATTTTTAAAAGTCCTATGATGTTTAAAATTTAATAAGACTGCAACTTTATATTAAATACATTTTCTGCATAAAAATAACAGCAGACTGAATTTTACCTTCATGACAACAGGTTTCTCAAAATTATAAACAGAATGCGCCTTCCTTTGAACAAACTTCTGAAACTCTGCATAGAAAGCAATGACAATATTAGCATCTTTAAGTAAGCAGCTAGGCAGAGTCAAATACTATAAAAGTCTCATCTCACCATTATAGACCATTTGAAAATTAAATGGTTCCTCTTCATAGATGTCATTTAAATGTTTCATTGCTATTATAAGACAGATTTCCAAGACTGACAGACCTATAATGAAGGGAAACAAACTAAATTTAATTGTATGTAAGAATGAAGTAACTGTACTCCAAAGATAATCAGGTTGTCTTCAAAGTCAAGATGCATTTTTGCATAGAAAAATATACAAAAATAGTGTGACTTTTTTCAACAACCCAATATATAACACCGTGAGAAATCATAGTTCTGAGCAGTGAAGGAGGTCAAGACTCCCCTATTCAAGCAAATTTACTTAACCTTTCTGATCTTAGTTTTCTTATTTCCAGTATAGGACTCTTTCTAAATTAGAGATTTTTACAAGGAATAGAGACAGTATTATCAAGCATTCACCATATGGCTCACAATAAACAAATAGAAATTGTAATTATCATGTGACTTTACATCAAATAGAGCCTTTGGGTGGGATTTATTCAGAGAATTCCTAAACCCTGGAAATTATATCCAAAACTACATGTGTACTTTTTTCCATGAAGAAAAAAAGGTTCACTAGATTTTCACAAAGGATAGTGAATCAAAAATAACTAAAACTAGTGAATACTCTTCAGTGGTACTTGGTGCAATGAGAAAATTAGCAATACCTTGGATTTCCAATGTAGCAAATGAGGCAGAAGGGCACATTTCACTTTAACTGGGAGTGACAAAACTTGAAAAGACTGAGTTTATAAGGGCTGTTATAAATATTGAAGTGTTGTGTATATAAAGTATTGCGCCCAATGTTAGTTAAATTTTTTTTTTTTTGGAGAGGTTTTCGCTATAGGGCGCGTGCGCTCACCAGACAGACAGAGACAGAGAGACAGAAAGCGAGAAATCATCCCCCAGGGGGGATGGTCACGCCGCAATCCCTTCTCCTCCACTCTTCTCTCGGGATCTTGGGCACGCATGCACATGTGCCCAGCGTGAGTTTTAAGCCACCGGGTCTGGGACGCGAACTGCGGTCGACTACGTGGGAGTCCAGCGACATAGCCATTACACTTACTGCTGGTTCCCAATGTTAGTTAAATTTTGAAAACATTCCATTATTTCAACTCAATCTTTCAAAAGCACAATTAAAAAAAAAAGAATAGAGCCTATTTCTCACCATGTACAATATTTGCTTTAGAGTCCATGCTGCACAGCTGATGTGCCTCCACCAGATCTGCTGCAGTCATAAGTGGGTGTGCTGCTGACACTCGGTTTACAGCAAGCATCTAGGGAGAGGTGGATCACCACAACATTCACATATTTATTTGGGCATTTCATAGGTACTACTGAGGAAACCTTAATTTGTATATTCTATTCTTTAAGGACGGTAAGTACATGTTAATGCATGGAAGAGGTATTCCCAAATTTAGCTATATTAAAATACATCGGCTCGTCACAAATGTCATGGAAGTATTTGCATAGAAAAACAAAAATATGTGATGACTTTTCCGATGACCCAATAATTCATATGCCACATGAATATAACTGTAAAGCATAAACACAGTTCGTGCTGCTCTTCCTACACCATCCCAATTGTGTACCTTGTTTAACTTATGCCTCAAAAGAATCACTTGAAAGTAGTAGGACAAGAACAAACTGAAAACGAGTAAACAAAGCCCAGACACAAGTCCCAAAATGCAGATCTATACAGTGTTACAAGCTTTCTTAGTTTTCCGAAAGTTAACACAGCTTCTGGACCAAAGATGCCACTCAAAATATTTGAGGATTTGTTATTTATTTGTATTTCTCAGAAAAGTGAAATTTAGTCATTCAGAGTTAGCATATTTAGCAGATAAAAATGCACATCTGGTTAAATTTGAATTTCAGGTGAGTAATGAATAATTTCCTAGTATAGGTATGTGCCATGCAGTACTTGGAACATACTTCTAGAAACTCTCTTCTCTGCCTTAACTGGGATGCCAGAAGAGTGTGGCAATCCTTGTCCTTCTACTGGTTTAGATTCAGGTTGCAAAGTTCTCCTTCCTTTTCCTCTACATTTTTTTGTCTGTTGTACAATATTATTTTTGACATATAAAAAGGCAACTAAGAATAATATAATAAGTATCTATGACCACTTTCCCAGCATAAGAAATATAATTTAGAGCTGAAGCCCGACTCCTCCCCTGATTAGACTCTCTACTCTTCCCTTACATAAACTGACATCGTATCTTTATTCTTGTACTGCTGTGTATGTATTCTAGACAATAGAGTAATTTTCAAGTTTTAAGATAAACCCTATCTTACACCTTACACAGCTCTTCTCATTGAACATCTCTTAGGAGAATTTATCTGCCAGCCTTGTAGCCTACTGATTAAGGGAACTAGACTTCATATGGCCAACCAAGATTTGTATCCTGGCCCCAGCAACTTGAAGAAAACACCAGGTACATAGCTGTGCATGTGCCAAGATCCTAATGAAGGAATTGCAGTTTGATCATATCTCATTGGAGTGGTGCTTTCTCTCCTTCTCTCTCTTCCTGGTGAATGCACATAGCTCCCTGGCAATTAAACAAAATTACCAATGTAGAAGTCTCATTTATAGTTTATTAATTTTTTCCTGCTGTATTCGTTTCCCTAATTATTCATTTCCCATCAATGAACATCAGTCATTACATTTTTTTGCCATTATTAAATAGGGTGGCAATAAATAATTTGTACTTGTCTTCTTGTGCGTCTGAGTTCCTGCAGTTACCAATTTGTTCTCTAAAGCACCTACACGGCAAATAGTAAGCTTTAATAGTCACAGACACTATATAATCAGGCATAACCTTTGGTACTCATCAGACTGGCAGTGAGAAGTTTAATCATAGTATTTATTGGCTTTCCCTGGTTACAGGAAAGGCTAACTATCTGTAACATTAAAAGCTTCTACAGTAAGTCAAGGATAACTGATATAATAAGGATGAGCAAGAATATGAGCCAACAACTCACCAAAGTGAAATCCCACATAGCCAAAAAAGAAGTCATTACTTAATTTATTACTATTAATTAGAAATTTATCAGGAAACTGGCAGAGCAGTGGTTATTCATGTTGACAATATGGAGGCAGAGTCATTTTCCCAGAATAACAGGGTGGATATGTGTGTGTGGGGGGGTGTGTATGCATATGCCTACTCTATAATTTTTTTCTTTAGGTTTACTTTTTATTTGTTTCATTAAGAGTGAAAGACAGAGATGCACACTTGAGGAGAGGAAAAACAAGCAGGCTCAACAGGATCTGACGCCATGACACCCACCCCCTCCCCACCCGGCATCCCCAGCCAGCTAGGATCATGGGCATGCATGCTGGCATTTGCAGTCAACAAGGGAACCATACTTTTCATCTTCCGTATTTATTCAGCATCACTTGAGCAGTACATTACCGATGAGCCACCAAGCTGGCCTACTCTAAAATTCAGTCCCAAAATGGTAAGAACAGCTGGAAATGGCAGTGCACTTCTGTTGGATGGGAGGGGGATGAGCTAATGAACGTATATAGGGAGAAAAGACATATTCTCAGCAAAAATAGAAATGGAGGAGAACCTATAACTAAACATGGCAGAACCATTTAGTAAAGTAGGAGACACAAGCTTGAGGCCAAAGAGCCTTGGATTGAATCCTGGCTTTGCCATCAGACTAATGCCACATATTCTTAGTGAAAGGAATTCTTTTAATTTTCAGAACAATTAAATACCTCTTAATTGACATTGTTTAATCTTAAGACATAATTACTTAGTGAAAGATCATGACCCAGTGGAATTTATTCCATGTATTCAGTATAATCCAATATATCAGCAGGCTAAAGAGAAATTATATAATTGTTTCAACTGATCAAGAGTAGACACCTAACTAACTCTAATACTCATCATACACTCTCAGTAAGTCAGGAATAGATGGACGTTACATAAACTTGATAACAAGCATACATAAAAAAACTTACGGCAAATTTCATACTTAATGTAAAAGATCAAATGCTTTCCTTCTAAGATTAGGAGCAAGAAAGGATGTCTACTTTCACCATTATTATTCAACACAGTGTGGAAGTTTTAGCCACTGCAATAAGTCAAGTAAAAGAAATAAAGTATACAGATTGGAAAGGAACAATGAAAAATGTCTATTTGTAGATGATTATCTATAGAAAATCTGAAGGAATCTACTTAAAAACTCCTTTAATAAGTGAGATAAGCAAGACTGTAGGAAATAAGGTAAATACAAAAATCAATCACAATTCTATGTAATAGTGAAACATGCTGAAATCAAAATTAAAAATAGTAATAACTTCAAAAATTATTTAGGCCTACACTTAAAGTATGTATAGAATTATTTGGTAGAAATGAAAATATCGATGAAAATAATCAAACATGAATTAAATGAAGGGAGATATGTAGTAACAAGCATGTCAGTTTTCTCAAAATTTATCTACAGGTTTAATCAATTGCCATCGAAACTTAATAGCCTGGAGCAGCGGGTGTAGTGTGGAAGTTAAGGCAGCTGGATCCCACATGGCTGATTCCACAGTTTGAGTCCTGGACCTGGAGGCTTGAAAAAAAAAACTATGCTGAGAATGTGTGTGTGCATGCCCAAAATCCTCAGAGGAGAATGGAGAGGAAAGGATTACTGTGTGGCCATCCTCTTAGTGGGCTATTTCTCACTTTCTCTCAGGTGAGCGCATACACCCTATAGCAAAAACTAAAACAAACAACGAAACCTTAATTACCTGATGAAAGAAAGTGATAAAACAAAATTAATAAAATTATTACAAACCAATAGCATGTGTAATGACCGCAGGTTTTTGCTAACATTGAAATGCTTCTGTAGTACTTCTCGCACACTTCTATCTTCTGAGAGGCTCTAAAGAAAAAAAAAAAAATATCAAAACAAAACGAAGAAACAAATGCACTTTAAAGCCTAAGTAAAATATTTTGTCTGACTGATTGGTATACTTTATTAACTCTATCTGATATTTATTCATTATTACATAGATATTGGTCTGTTTGTAGAAAACTCAAACCAGTTCGCTAATTTTCTTATCCCTTAATGTTAACTCAAAAAACGATAAAGCATAATCCTCGCTACCGATGGTCACACTAGTTAGACAAAATGTAGTGAAGAACACAACAGAGTAAGAGTTACTGCACCAGGACCAGCAGATGGCGAAATGGTTGTCACTGGACTCCCACGTAGTCAACAGCAATAGGAGTCCTGGACCCGGCAACTTAAATCTCATGTTGGACATCTGTGTGTGTGTGTGTGTGTGTGTGTGTGCGCACCCAAGATCCCCCCAAAAATTATGCAGAAAACTAAGCATTTCTGTTTTCTGTAGCTGTAACTCCCAAGTTTTCAGGTCATCTACTATAAAGCTCCAGACTAAGAAATACCTTCTAGTCCACTGAAATGAAACTTCATGTTCTCCAGTATTTCTCATATATGTCCCACTCTCTTGCTATCGTTTCTAGTCTTTTATTTTTGTATTTTAAAGGACTTCCTATTACTATATATCTCTTTTCTATCATAAAGTCAAGTATCCTTTGTAAGTACACATAATAAACATAAAACAATAAAGCAAAGTAAAATATATATATAAAAACTTTTGAACATCAAAAATTTTTAGGTTTTCCAGTTCTCAGATTTCAGTATGGGAGAAATTTTAAAAATATGTGACCAAATAAAGCAGGCAAAGTACAGTCTTGGTTTCTGCAATTTTTGACTCTTATCAAGTAACTTATGAAAAGGTGAAAAAAAGAATTTAAGAAAACTAAAAAGATTCACTAGGGATCAAAATAATTGATGAAAATAATTGATGAAAGAGAACTTCCCTGTGCCAATTCAATTATTTAAAAAAACTATTTGCCTTTCTTTGACATGACACTCTAAATGTTTGGTTCTCTACATTCTGCCTTTCTATTACCCTTTCCCTTTGTATTTTTAGTGGTAGGACTCCAACTGTCTACCTTCCTGAAAGCTATCACTTTCTTGCTTTTATAAATACATATGTAAGCCACTAAAAACAAACAAAACCATCTGATCTTTCAAATCACATTTTATACCCACCTTGATTCAAATACTATTAAGTATTTGAGGATAAAGTTATTATCAATTACCATTTAAACTTAACCATAGTAATTTGGGGAATTTTTTTTATGAAGTTATTAGCTACGATTCATTTACATGCTCTTTTCCAGAGATTTCTCTTATATTGCCACAATGAGAACTCGGCTTATTTATTGACTCATCTGAGGCAGAACTAAAACAAACCTGCAAATTAGGGTGTCCAGGTTCAATCCCACCCTGAAGATATTTCTTGGATAAGATTAAGATTACATAGATAACCTGTGTCTATACCACTGGATTTTGGTTTAACCTTGTAATTAAGAAACAAAACAAAACAAAAACAAAACAAAAAACAAACAAAAGCTCAAAAAACCTTCTGGAGAGTCAGTACCAAGAGAAAAGATAGCTCCTTTAATAGCCACCCCCTTTTCCCAAGGGAATGAGACTCTGACCATGGTGCTGACAGATTTTTCCAGTGAAGCTCATTTGTTAGGATAACAAAGGGAGGGGGCACAAGAGGATCCATGGGAAAGTAGGGGATGAAAATATCAGAACTAAGAGAGACAGATCCCCATGGTACTGTTTCAACTTTATGAAAGTGAGCTGCAAGACTGTCAAGAAGACAACATAATGCTCACAATTATTCCTACCTTCTCCCTCTAAGTGTGGGTGGTACAGGCTCTAACTAGAGTTGAGCCTCTTAATATGATGTTTACCATTTCCTTCCTCCTTCCTCCCTCCCTTTCTCTCTCTGTCAAGGGTGTGTGCACTTGCCAGAGAGAAAAAAAGGTAAAGAGAGAAAGCCCTCCATGCAATCCCTTCTCCTCCTTGGATTTTGGGCCCACATGCATGTGCACCTGGGATGATTCTTTTTTTTTTTTTTTTTTGGGGGGGGGAAGGGGTTTTTTCTAAAGGGCGCTTTCCCTGGTAGGGGAAGAGGTTTTTGCTACAGGGCGCATGCACTCGCCAGATAGAGAGACAGAAAGTGAGAAATTACTCCCCAAGGGGGATGGCCACACTGCAATCCAGTGACTTAGCCATTATGCCAACTGCTGGTTCCAGCATGATTTTTTTTTCTTTAGAGAAGGATTTTTACTATTGAGTACATGTACTACCAGTGAGACAGAGACAGAGAAAGATGAAGCAAGAAGTCAGCCCCGGGGGACGGCCGCACCATAATACGTTCTCCTCCTGGGACTTGGGGCATGCATGCACAAACACTCAGTGTGAGTTTAAAGCCTCTGGGTAAGACTTGAGTATATAGTCAGCCATGTAGGAGTCCAGCACCTTAACCACTTATGCCACCTGCTGGCCCACCAGCATTTTTTTTTTTTTTTAGGTTTTTGCCTTAGAGTAGGTGCAGTTGGTAGGGGGTGGATGAGAGAGACAGTAAAAGAGAAAATGAGAAATCACCCCCCTCCTCCAATCACCAAGCTGCCAGGTCCAGGACTTGAACCACAGCATGCCATGTGGGAGTTGAGCACCCTTAACCACCATGTAACCTGCTGCCCCCTCAATGAACTTTTAAGATTAAAAAAAAAAAAGTGTCAAAATTAATGGTGGCTATATGGGCAGACTGTATAATCAAAACAAGAATCATTTTGAGAACAAAGAAATGCAAAATTTCCACTTTTAATTTTGTATTGTCATTTAACATTTTCTAGTAAAAATATAATCTATCATTATTATTTTAATATTAAACAATTCCTGTTTTCAGAACCAGTAAATAGAAACTATGTAATTCTCTTCAGAGATCTAATCATCCTTATTTACTAGAATTTAATATTAAAGAACTGTTTCTCCTAATTCCTTTAATACCAAGGATTCTGTATTATTTTCCCTTTCAAGGAATTCATGCATACCATGAAGGACATATTTAATAACATTGTTTTCAGCACAGGATGCCCTTAACTCAATGAGATAAAGCTGATGCTTATGAGAATTAGAAAAAAAAAAATCATACAAGAAGGTATGGACCACAAACACAGTATATTGCTAGACTTGTAAATTACAGAAAAATATTTATATGTAAATTTACTAATAAGACTATCTACAGTATAAACCAAATACAAATGAAAACCTCGTTAAGAGTTCACTTGACACTACTGCAAAGTCTTACTCAAGCATAACTGTAAAGTTCACTAGAAAGAAAATTTAGGTGATGACATTTTAACTGTCTTTCATAAGACAAAAAAGTGTATAATTTGTATTCATGTTGCTTTTATACCAAAGTAACACTAGAAGCTCTGTGTCTATTTACAAATTTTTTAATTTGTAATTTTAATTTTTTTAAGTCATGTAGCACATAAATAATGAACAATATTGCCTTTGTTTAAAGTTACCTGAACATTCTCATTCCACTTCTCACTAAAAAGCTTGTCTGGAAATCCTGCAGGCAGAGATAATTGCTCTTTAAAGATTTTAACATATTGTGGAAAGCCAAATGAATTCATCAAGTGAATCTGCCGATGAGAAAATCGTGACTTCACTCTTTTTTCTAAGAGTTCCAAGATATCCTTAAAAACATAAATAGAAATTTCTATAAGAAACATGTTAAAAAAGAAAAATGACAGGTCAGCAGGTGGCGTGGTGGTTAAGGTGGCTGATTTCCACATGGCTGACTTCATGGTTCGAGTATTAGACTCAGTGGGTTGTGTGCATATGTACTCAAAATCCTGAGAGGAGAACAGAAGAAAAGGATTGTGGTGTGGTCATCCGTATAAGGGGATGATTTCTCACTTTCCCTCACTCTGCCCCTCTCTCCGGTGAATACACGCACCTCAAGGCAAAAATCTAAAAACAAAAACAAAAACAAAACCACTGTGAGAATGTTAGAAACAAGTATAAATATACACTACTACCTGTAATTACTAATGTTTATTCAGTAATATACAATTAAGCATTTCATTACTTTTCTGCAAACTATCAAACTTCTAGGCATTTGTAGGTGTGGCAATGTCATGCTTTTTTCCCTCCCATGTTATTCTCAGCTAATCTGTAACATTCTAAGATCTACAATAATTGTTTTTTAAAAATTTAAATATTATTGAATGTGCCACAGTGACATAAAGAGTTAAGATAAGAAATTTTGTATATTCTATGAAAATTTCAGATAAAAAATTAAGACAGTAAAACACAGTGAGACTTCTACATTCTCAAAAAATTTTAAATCATGGTTTTATGTAACAGGGTCTAACAAACAGGATGCATAATGCAGCAAACTTCACTCTGCTAGCAGCCACAAATGTGTATTTTAACAATTTGTTGTTAGAAGGCATGTGTGCCCACTGTAGAAAGACAGAGAAAGAGACAGAGTAGGAAAGTAAGAAAGCACCTTCCATTGGGTATAGCCATGATACAATACCTTCTCCTTTTGGGATTTTGAGGACACACGCCTAGTATGTATTTCAAACTAGTGAGTCCAGGACTTAAACTGCACAGTTGGCCATGTAGCATCCAGCTGCCTTAACCACCATGCCACTGGCTGGCCCAACTAGCTACAAATTTAAGCTGAATCTGTGACAGGAAGAAAGAACCAACGATAGGGAATAAAACTGGAAATAATACAGCATGACATCAACATGTGACTCATTATTTGGCTTTTTTTACAGTGATACTTTGTGACTTTTTTGTGTTTTGAATTAAAGAAAGGACCTCACTTGTGTTGCGATCCTCCTGCTTCAGCCTCGCAGCTGAAACTATAGGAGTGCAGGTACATATCACCACACCCAGCTGTAATTTAGGTGAGGACCTGCTTCGCAATCAGTGCCCTTCTTAAGTTCATAATCTTCCTATCTCAGCCCCTTAAATTGCTGGGATTACAAGGGCACATCACTGTAACCAGCTTTTAGGTTGGAGTAGGAATTGAATCTAGAGTTCTCATGTGGTGCCAGCTGTGGAGCATAGCATCTTAGAAAACACATGCCATCACAGCTAGGCTTGCACTTTTTTCCATAACAAAAAATTGGCAATTGAGTTTACTGTCAAAAACAAACAACAAAAAAAGAAAAAAAAAACACACAAAAGATACCAAAAGATGGCTAATAGGTATTATTTGCCATTTATGTATGCCACGTTTTGTTAGGTTAAAAAGAAAAAAGTGCTATAAAGCTAGTATGCACTCAAAGTGTTCCAGACATCAAAAGCTATTAGAGGTAAATTGTCATCTTGAAAGTTGTATACATAGGTAGTTGTCATTCCTAAGTCTATTCTTACTACCGAACTTGAGCACTCTTTCAAAAGATGTTATGGTACATAATTACTGTATCACCCAATAATTCTACTCCTAGATATTAATCAAGAGAAATTACAAATGTATCTACAAAAAAAGTATACATGAATGTTTACAGGAGCATTATTCATAATCCAAATACCCATCACCTGATGAACGGCTAAAGAGTATGGTCTAAATATTAATTAAGGGCAGCAGAGAGATGGGGGATTTGAGGTGATGGCTAACAGATATGGGGCTCTTAAATTGACTACACTAATAAATATGCAACTCTTTTTGAATATATAAAAAACAGTGAATTATACTGTTAACTGAGTCAACTGCATGTTTTAAGAACTGTATCTCGGGACCAGCAGTTAGTGTAATGGCTATGTTGCTGGACGCCAATGTAGTCGACCACAGTTTGAGTCTCGGACCTGGAGGCTTAAACTCACGCCAAGCGCATGTGCGTGCGTGCCCAGGATCCCGAGAGGAGAATGGAGAAGGGACTGTGGCATGGCCATCCTCCCTGGGGGGTGATTTCTCGCTTTCTGTCTCTCTGTCTCTCTTTCTGGCGAGCGCACGCGCCTTATAGCAAAAACCTCTCAAAAAAAAAAAATAAATAAAAAAAGAATTGTATCTCCATGAAGGTGTTAAAAAAGCCCTCCCATCCATATGAAAACTACCATCATATACAATAATTTAAAAGAATTACTGCTATTTTATTTATAGTGGGAAAACATGTATTTTTAAGGAGTCCTTATCTTCTGAAAAATACATTCTGAAGCACTTATTGATTAAATGACAATGTCCAGTTTGGGCTTCAAAATAATAACAGAATAAAAGGAAATGGTGAATGACGCTAGCTTGAAGTAATTATTGAAGCTGAGTCATGAGTGAAGAAGGGGAATCAGGGCTCATTATATTATTGTCTCCTATGTATATTGTTGAAATTTTCTATAATGTGGTATTTTTTCCCCCTTAAGGATGTGATGAGACCCAGAAAAATAAAAATTTAAATCTAGACAAATGATTCTCAAAATAGCTAGGGTAGGTAGCCATAATATAGAAGAAAAAAATCAAACAATCAAAATAGGATCATGGTTAATTAGAGGCAAAGAACAGGAAAAATGAATAGGTTGGGGTGGGAGGGGAGAGGCTAAATGAAAAATCTGGGGTGTTTTCATAAGGTCAAAGAAACTACAGTGCTAGCCAGAGAATTAAAGGAGAAGAAGGTTATGTTCAGAATAGTGTACATTTATTTTCTATTGGAAAGCAGCCAGGTCACCCACATAGGTAGGCTGTAGAAGGGCAGTAGAAATACAACTATATGCAAGCCAACAATGAAAAGCCTGAACTTGGGAATGAACAGAGATCGAAACAAAAGGTATTTCATGGTGGACAATAATGATGGAAGTTGTCAATGTAGAGCTAGAAGGAATAGTAACAATTAGACAAAGAAAAAAAAAAAAGGAAATATTTTCCATAGGGGAAGACACCACTTGTTGGCAAAGTCAATGATACATCTATCCATCTTCCCGTATATCCTTCTGCTCTCTCCCTACAAACATGGAATAATAGTACAATTACACTTGAAAAATTACATAATTGGAGAATTACAGAAACAGAATAAAACACAGCCTCGAAATAAAACTAAGTAACTACTGACCTTTTATTTGGTCCTTCACTGGGTCAGTAACATTTGCCACTGCCACAACAAACAGTAAATTTATGTTCTAACCAAGAAGTGGAATGTTTGTTTATTCCTGTCATAGCTTGTTGCTTTTGACAAGGGTAAATAAAGATGTGTGGGACACCAACCAGATGTCTATGAGGGGGGCTTATTCTGAAGGTATACATCATAGTTCCAGAGGAGAAGGGAGAGGGAGAGGAAGAGGGAAGTAGAGGGAGGGAGGGGGAGAGAGGGAGAGGGGGGGAGAGAGAGGGAGAGAGAGGGGGAGAGAGAGAGAGAGAGAGAGAGAGAGAGAGAGAGAGTGAGTCACTCCATAGAAAATAGTACTAGAAGAGGACTACTGGAAGAGTAAAAAAAGTTTTAATTTTCAAAAAGGAAAAAAGAGCTGTAGGAAAGGGGAATATGTAAATGGGCCTGACACAGGCCTACCACATATGGAGGGAGGAAAGGAAGTCTATGGAGGCTTACAGTACAAGAAAAGTGGTCTCTTACAAATACCAGTTTTACCTGGATTCAGTAAGAAAGTTCATATTATGAGAGTGTAAGAAGGTGAACACAAAACGAACTGCACAGCTGCCCAAAGATACACAAAGTTCACATGTGGATAACCTTCACAAAGTTAAGTGATTGTGACATTAAGACTTGGTTAAAAACCATTCTAAAATCTGTCAGGGAACAAACTATTATCTATTGTGACTGCTTGATAGAATCTCATTCATTTCTGGAGATCTGTACTTAGAAAACAGGGAAAGTATCATCTTGAGTTGATTTTGATAATTTTCATAATGTACATAGAATCTTATGTGCAAAACTAGAAACTATTATTATATTTATAAGATAGTGGTTGAAATTATTTAATCAAGAAATTATTTAACTGCCTCTACTTTTTAATGTAGAAATTATATTCATAAGCATAATGTAATCTCGTTGTTTTTCTTCAGTGATTTCACTGGCAGATGAAAAGTATTCATTTATGGAAATATGCAATAATTGTTTTACTTTTCTTAGTTTGAGCTGAAAACATAAATATGCCATGTATCGGTAAACAAAAAATTTAAAATTCCTAATATAATGACATACAAAGGTGAAACAAGACTAATTATGTCAGTAATTAAATTTAATTTTTCTAACTATTATAATCAATTTTTCTTCACAGAAAAACTTACCAATCTACATGTGAGACCAATAACTGCTACTGGAGTCTGTGCAGATTGAGAAATATCAAAAAGATTATAGAGTAGTGTTTGGTTTTTATGATGAGCAAAAAGATCAAATTCATCTAATACGAAGATCACTGGGCAACTGCTAGTCCGGTCACCTAAAATAAAATAAGAGCTTTACGTTAACAAGCAAACTATATCAAACTTTCTTAAATTTCCAAACCACTTACTGCATTTGTTTTTTAAAACACAAGTCAAACATATATTGATAACTTACTTTGAGTAGGGCATATACTAACAGGTACTTACTAACACTCATGAGTAGGGCTCTTACTAACACTCATTCAACAGAATCACAGGACAAAAATAACCGCTACTGCCTATAAGTAATTTGCAGTACAGTCACTACTCTAGTAGTTTACAGAGGAAATAAATTTTAAAAATCACTTAAATGAGTGGAGACTATTTCTATAGCTAGATAAATACAATTCTATAATAATCACAAAAATTGACTAAGACTTTTCAATATTTATAAAGTACCAAAACATTTTGTGATTAAAATATAAAGTGTGACTTGCTATAACATAAAAACTACCTTAGTAGAAGAATCACTATTACCATAATGCTTAAATGCATTATATTTGCATAAAAAGTAAAATGAAAATCTGACGGGGAAGACTTACTCTTACAAATAAAACACATATAATAGCCAAAATGGCTTAATACCAGCACTAAACCAAAAAGACTATGCAAAACTCTAGAAACTTACCTGTAAAATATTATGAAAATTTAATATATAGTAAGATACAGCATATATATTATATGTATACACATACACACACAGACACACACACACACACACATATATTTATGCCTTGCTATCTATATATATATGAAATAAGGGTAAAAAATGGTTTATTCAAAGTTAGAATCACTTCATACCTCATGCCTAAATAAATTCCAACCAAATTAGAATTACGAATACATACACTAAATGAAAAAAAAAGTGTGAATAATTTCCTAATCTGAAGGAGAAGAAAAACTTTCCATAAAAAAAATGTAAAACTTCTGCTCAGCAGAAAAGTCAAAACTGGGACCAGCAGTTAGCGTAATGGCTATGTCACTGGACTCCCATGTAGTCAACTGCAGTTCGTGTCCCGGACCCGGTGGCTTAAACTCATGCCGGGCGCATGTGTGTGCGTGCCCAAGATCCCGAGAGGAGAATGGAGAAGGGATTGCAGCGTGGCCATCCCCCCTGGGGGGTGATTTCTCGCTTTCTGTCTCTCTGTCTCTCTTTTTTTTATTTGGAGAGGTTTTCGCTATAGGGCGCGTGCATTCGCCAGACAGACAGAGAGAGACATAGAGACAGAAAGCAAGAAGTCACCCCCCAGGGGGGATGGTCACGCCACAATCCCTTCTCTTCCATTCTCCTCTCAGGATCTTGGGCACGCACGCACATGCACCTGGCGTGAGTTCTAAGCCACTGGGTCCAGGACGCGAACCGCAGTAGACTACATGGGAGTCCAGCGACATAGCCATTATGCTAACTGCTGGTTCCCTCTCTCTGTCTCTTTCTATCTTTCTGGTGAGTGCACGCGTCCTATAGCTAAAAAAAACTCTCCCCCCCAAAAAAGTCAAAACTAAATTTAAAGGAAAAGAAAAGCATAAAACTTCCAATTTAAAAAAGACATAACTACCAAAATATGACAGAGATCTAAAAGAAAATAATACAGAAACCAGGAAGTATTGTTCGTAAAAAGACAGGCCCAGCCATAGTGGCACAGTGGCCACAGAATGTCTGCGATGCTGGAGAACCACAAGGAAGATGAGGGTTAGTTCCCAGGTAGACTTGTACACAATGGACACATGTACCTATGATCCGAATTATCTGGAAAACTGAGGAGTGTGGAAATTACAGGGCAAGACCCTGTTAAGGGTACTTTTTTTTTGTTATTCATTAAGAAAAAACAAATAAATTTTGCATAAAAATATAAAATGATGAAATCATTGTCAGAATTATGTAAATTAAAAATAAAACAAAATTATGAAAATTAACATAAGAGATCATTCTTTTTGACAGATAATATGAAAATGAATATTAATTTATTTTAATGTAGTAGAAAAACAAAGGGACTTTCAAATATGCTTAGAAAGCAAAACTTAGAAGGTAGTCTGGTAATAATATTTATTTTTAATGTGGTACCTTTTAACCTACAACACTACTCTTTAACATGTATCCCATGAAAGACCTGGCTGATTATCTAAGTGTTTTGTTTATAATTGCAAAAACTTAGAAACAAAGGTCCATAACTAGTGATTAATTATAAGACTTTTATAAAATGAAGTAAATGAGAACCATAAAAGTGATAAAAAGTTTGCTGATTCATAAAATCATTTTATTCTTCAAAAAAGTTTTATCTGTATGTGTATATCCGTGATATGTTGTAGGGGAATGAATATAAGAAACCAAATGATGAGAGAATTACTAATACAGTGGTGGTATTACATTGATCGTAATTTTATTCTTTTTTATATTTATTTTATGAGCTTTTTGCAAAAGCATTTATCACTTATCATAATAAGGGAAAAATAAAATCAACAATAAATAACTAGGCACTGTTAGGTGTCCATATTTACCCCTTTTTAAAGCTTCCAGAAGAAATGAAAGGTTTTCGGCAAAGCTCCCCTGAAAAACACAGAAATGAACATGGCTAGAAGCTTAAGCAAATAAAGAATAAAAGAGGCTTAAGGGAGGGGCTCCATGAGGCAGTGGTAATGCACTGCTCAAGAGAAACTAAATTCTACACAGCAACTACAGTTTGAATCCAAGGCCTGGTCTACCTGAAATACCAGACACCTATGCCAAAGCCCAGAATCTGACAGGCTAGAGGGCTGGAGGAAGGGCATCACACTGCAACCAGACCCTGGAGGGTATCCTCCTCTCTCTCGCTTATGTGTCCTTGACCATGAGTAAAGATTTTTTAAGAGTGTTATCTCTTAGACTTTATGTATGTGTGTGTATATATATGTATACACACAGACACCATATATCTTCTTTTCCCTAGTAAATTAAGTCAGTGGCCGCACACTCTAAATAACTAACTATCTAAAACTTAAAATACAAAAGCAGAGATGGCATAGCACTGAAAATGGAATACTATTTCATGCTTGGAATTTTATGTATTTTGAACATAAAAAATGTTAAACTTACTTGAAGGTAATTTTGAAGAGGTGCTGTATTTTACATACAATTGGAGACCTATTAATGCACTATGCTCTGTCTTCAAATACAAGGCTCTTGCAAGTCTCAATTTAATTTTTATCACCAAGGAAATGACCATGATTTTAAATGAGACCCAAGAGAAAAAGGCAGAAGAAATTTGCTTGAAATATTAAATACTATATAATTGTGTTTGTCTATTCAAGAGCATAATGAAGAAGTATATCTATCCTATCAAATTTGGAATATAGCCAAAACATGTTTGGATCAAACTTAAATATTTCTAGATGAAAAATTTAATAGAGTAGCAGATGCATTAGCCAGATGTTTCAGACTGTGGGCAGAGGCCCTACTGAAATATTTTTTTTCAGTAATTAATTTTTATTTCATTCAGATTTTTAAATTTAAAGGTATAGCAAACTTTAAATTTGAGGAAATGTAATGCAGAAAAAGAATCTATTTCTTCCCCATCTGAGGTACCTGATATAAAATAGCATAATAGGTTATTAAGAACTTCCATTTATTGTGATGATCACATGCTGTCAGGTCAGTACTATTTCCAAGGGAAATGAAACAAGAGGCATTAAGCATAATTTACCATAACAAAGGTTCACAGAGACAGTATGATGAGAAATCAGCTGTCAAAGTTACTCTAAAGTTGCCTGGTTTTGGCTTTACTATTTAAGAGATTATTATATCTGATATTAAGTATATATTTATAATCAACATAGATACATAATGAGTGTACTTATAAAAACATATATAGGGACCAGCAGTTAGCGTAATGGCTATGTTGCTGGACTCCCACATAGTCGACCGTGGTTCAAGTCCCAGACCCGGTGGCTTAAACTCACGCCAGGCGCATGTGCGTGCGTGCCCAAGATCCCAAGAGGAGAATGGAGGAGAAGGGATTGTGGCGTGGCCATCCCCCCTGGAGGGTGATTTCTCGCTGTCTCTCTGTCTCTCTCTGTCTGTCTGGTGAGCGCACGTGCCCTGTAGCAAAAACCTCTCCCCAAAAAAAAAAAAAAAAAAAATTTGCATCTCTTAGAGAATCAGAGTATTTAGTTTATAGATAAAGGAACAAAGTCAGAGAATATCAATCTATTAGGTTGTTGGGGAAATCATGACATTTTTCTATACGAAATGACCCAATAGATCTCATCTATTTTATTGCTAGCATAATCTACTACAAAAAAAATCCTATCATAAAGGTTTAATAACTAAACGTATCTTAACATATTACACATTTCTATGAAGGCATATTTTAATTGAAAATTTCTGAGCTTCTCCTTGACCTTCTAGAGACAGAAAAATACCTATGGTATACAAACTTAAAGCTTACTTAATAACTGAGATGATACTTACAAAAACTTTGTCACCAACTACATTTTCCAGATTTAATTGTCTTGTGATTTCCGTTAGGGCAATTTTATCATTGATCTGCAGCAGCCCTAAATAAAGTTCATAAAAAAGTATTTAATCAAAATGAAGTATGTATTTAATACAGCAGATTGTTTTCTAGTAAAGAATATTTTTCAATGCTTTTAATATTTAACTAAAAATAAAAAGTCAAAGCATGCATTATTTCCTTTAAAAAACTCAACAAACAGGTGCCAGCAGGTGGTATAGAGGTTAGGGCACTGGTTTCTAAATGGCCAACTGCCAAGTTCCAGTCTCAGAACCAGGGGCTTGAAAATCATGCTGAGTACATGTGTGTACATGCCTAAAATCCCAAGAGGAGACTGCAAGAGAAGAGACTGGTGTAGCCATTCTCCCCAGGGGGAGGGGTAGTTTCTCTCTCTCACTCATACTTTTTCTCTCCCCCCCCCCACCAAGTGCATGTGCCCTAAAGCTAAACTAAAAACAAACAAAAAGTTAAAGCTAATTAAAAATAAAAAACTCAGCAACAGAAACATTTGGTAGCATAAAAGAGCCATTTTTGGGGGCTATTATTATTAAAAACAAAACAAAACAAGAAAACAGAATTCTTTATGTGCCTCCTTTCTTCTTTCTAAAAGTATTGTTCTATAAAATACAGATCCAGTTTTGAAGTCTAATTATTTACACATATGTAAAACATACAAGCTAATAAGTTTTAATAATATAAAACCCCAAGTAGTTCATATCATTTTCAATGGCAAAATGATGACATACTTACCATTTAGGTGAACTTGTAATACATTTCCACTCACTTCTTCTATTTCCATGAGTTCTTTCAAAGCATGATTTATTAACTAAAGAAACATGAAAAGCTTATAAAATACTTGATAATAAGTAAAAGATAAAAAAACCCTCTAGATTTTTTTTTTAACCACACAATTTAGGAACAGAATATAAACTGACTTTTCTAACAAAAAAACTTATTTATTTTATTTATTATATTTACTTATTTATTTAATTTTCTTTCTTTCTTTTCTTTTCTTTTCTTTTCTTTTCTTTCTTAAGAATTTTGCTCTAGGGCATGTGCACTCACCAGAGAAAAAGAGAGAGAGAGAAGAAAAGTGAGATAACAAGCCACCAGGTCCAAAATTTGAACTGTGGTTAGCCATGTGGGGGCCCAGCACCCCAACCACCACTCCACCTGCTGGACCCTATAAATTACCTTTTTAATTAGCAAACATTTTTGAAATCATTAAAGACAAAACATTTCATGTCTGACATTCTTTTAAAAATTTATGACATCTTATCACTCTTAGATTACAAATACATCTCTTCATATTACCACTGCATACATTTTTAAAAATTAAAAGTGAATAGGGACCAGCAGGTGGCATAGTGGTTGAGGCACTAGACACCCACATGGCCGACCACAATTCAAGTCCTGAACCTGGCGGCTTGCTTTCTCACTTTCTCTTTCTCTCTGTCTCTCAACTCACTGTGTTCTCCTCTGGTCAAATTGAAATGGATGAAAAAATAAATAAAGTTAAATAATTCTTAAAAAAAAAATTGAAAGCGCATAGGATTAATGAAGGAAAAAAAACTTTCTTAAAGGGGAGAGTGGTGATGACAATTTCTTACAATATTAAAATATGAGTACTGCCATGAAATAAGTGCTATGAAGAGGTTGTGTACATGAAAAAATTAGTATAGATGGCATCAAAACTTAGGGAGAGGAACCAGCAGATGGTATAATGGTTAGCTTAAAAATCACACCAGGCATGTGGTGCATGCGTGCCCAGAATCCAGAGGAGAGAATGGAAGAGAAGGATTGTGGTGTGGCCATCCCCTCCACAGGGTCATTTTTCCTTTTCTTTCTGTCTTTCTCAGGTGAGCACATGTGCCCTATGGCAAAAACCTAAAAAAAGGAAAAAAAAAAATCAAAGACAATTTATTCAACTGTTTTTATATGTCAGAGTATCACAACACACAATAAATTATAAAAGTGGCATAAGTCAAACAATTCTCATCTCTTCAACATATTAATATTGGAGTATAGTAGGAATAAACTAACCTGTACCAAAATGAAATACCAGAAGAGATTTTTCCAGATACCAATGAAGTCATACTAGATAAATTACTTGAAGCACAGGAAGAGCACTCTGGTTTAAGAAGTAACAAGATAAACTGCTAGCATAGCTATGAATAATCTATTATTTTATTCACTGATAAATACTATATGTTAATGCTGTCTCCTTTAAACTTGTATGCATAAAATAAAAACAAGGAGATTATAAAATGACACTCTAATATAAAATAAAGAGAACAGAAAGATGATAAAAAATATTAATTACTACTGAAATTATGTATTTTTGTGAATTCAATGTTTTGGGCTATTTAAGCCAGACTTAGAAAAATATAAAACAATAGACCAAGAAGGTACATGATCAGAGCTAGGTAATGTGAGTGTGTACCCAAGATCCCAGAAAGAGAATGGAGAAGGGGTTGAGGCATGGTCACTCCCCCTGGGAGGTGAGTTCTCACTTTCCCTCTCACTGTGTCTGTCTGTCTGTCTGTCTGTTTCTCTGGTTGAGCCCATGTGCTATAACGCGAAACCTCTAAAAATGCAGGGCCAGCAGGTGGCATGATTGAGGACTGGACTCCCCCATGGCCAACCAGTGACATGACAGCATACTTTCTCACTTTCCTTCTATCTCTTTTTCCCTTGTCTCTCTCTAGTGAGAGCATGTGCCTTATAGCAAATTAAAAAATAGTAATAACAATAAATAAAATTTAAAAATTAAAATGTAATTATAAGATTAGAAAAGATAACTGACAGTGAAGAAAAAAATCATACTGGTTATATAGCAGAATACTAAGGAAGAACAAAAAGATACAAAAAGAAAAAAAAAAAAAAAAAAGACGTAATAAGAAAGATGGCAGACAGGGACCAGCAAATGGCATAATGGTTATGCTGCTAGACTCCCACATAGTTGACTATGGTTCGAGTCCCAGCCCCGGCAGCTTAAAACTCATGCAGGGCGTGTGTGTGTGTGTGCCCAAAATTCTGAGAGGAGAATGGAAGAGAAGAGAATGTGTTGCGGTCATACCCCTGAGGGGTGATTTCTCACTGTCTATTTCTCTGCTCTGTCTCACACATGCACCCTATAGCAAAGGAAAATAAAAAAAAAGATTGCAGACACAAAGAAATGAGAACAAAGGTTTAATAAATGGATATTCTAATCCTAAAACAGGACAAAAAGAAATAAGCGATAATATTAAAAATAATGGATTATTACTTAGTGGGACCAACAGTTGCTGTAATGGCTATGTCACTGGACTCCCATGTAGTCAACAGTGGTTCGAGTCCTGGACCCAGTGGCTTAAAACTCATGCTGGGCGTGTGTGTGTTTGTGCCCAGATCCTGAGAGGAGAATGGAAGAGAAGGGATTACAACGTGGCCACCTTCTCTGGGGGGTGATTTCTCACTTTCTATCTCTCTGTGTCTCTCTGTCTTTCTGGTGAGCACATGCATCCTATCGCAAAAACCCCTCCCCCCCAAAAAATTAATAAATGATAATATTAAAAATTAAAGATTATTACTTAAGTAGAACCAGCAGTTGGTGTAATGGCTATGTCACTGGACTCCCAGGTATTCGACCGTGGATTGAGTCCCAGATCCGGTGGCTTAAACTGGGTGCATGTGTACGAGTCCAAAATTCTGAGAGGAGAATGGAGAAGAAGGGATTGCATGGCCATCCCCCCTGGAGGAGTGATTTCTCACTTTCTGTCTCTCTGTCTTTGTCTTTCTAGTGAGTGCACGTGCACCCTATAGCAAAAACCTGCCCCCCTCAAAAGATTATTATTTAGTGATGATCTAAGTTCATATTAAGAGTATCTACTGAATTTGAGTTAATTTATGATCAACACTTAGACAAAGCCCATGTATACCTAATGCAATAAGAAAATTTAAAAAATGGTATAGAGATAGGAAAGAAACAATTAAAACAATCTTTGTTACAGATAACATATTGTTTAATAGGAAATTCTAAAGAACCAACAAAAAGCCTCTGGAAATGACTAGTAATCATAGCAAGGTTGAAGGATACAAGGTAATGTACAAAAGTCAATTCTTTGCCTATATACTATTATAGTAATGAATATTTGGGTAATGGAATTAAAAACATGGTTTGATTCATATTAGCATTAAAGAATTTAAATACTTAAATACAAATCCAATATACAAGATCTACAGCAGGAAAATCGTAAATACTCTTATGAAATACCTAAATAAATGGAGAAAGACATTCTCTGTTTGTGAGGGGCAAGATCTAATATAGTAAAGGTGTTCATTCTTCACAATGTGATATACATTCAATACAAAATTTCAGCAATTCCACACCAAGATTTCTATTATCAGTAAATTGGTTTGGAAGTTACTATGGAAAGGTAAAGTACCCAAAAGAGTCAACACAATATTGAAGAACAAAGTGAGAAGACTGACAGCACTTGAAGGCTCATCATAAAGCTAGGGTAATCATCACAATGAACTTGACAAAAGAACAGACACAGATCAAGAAGCAAGGCCAATTCAATGGAGAAAAGACTTTCTACAATTCAAAAGAAATCATAGACCAAAATGTAAAATGTGAAACTACAAAACTTCTACAAGATAATGTAGGAAAAAATTTCGGTTATTTTGTGTTTGGTGATGCAGTTTTTAATACAACACCATAATCAAGACTCATGAAAGAAAAAATTGGATTTTAATGAAATTAAAATATTGTACTCTGAAAGATACTTAACAGAATGAAGACAAGTCACAGACTGTGACAAAATATTTGCAAAACACAGCTGAAAATCAGAGATATATAAAAGTCTCTTAAAACATCTCAATGAGAAAACAAACAACTCAAATTAAAAATGAGCATAACATGTCTCACTAAAGATATATGGATGGAATAAAAAAACCACAACATACACCACTACACATCTATTAGAATGGCTAAAATTTTTTAAAATAATAAACTCTGAAAATACCACATGCTAACAAGAATGAGGAGCAACAGGAACTCTCCTTCACTGCTGCTAGAAAAGCAAAATGGTACACAGTCACACTGGAAGACAGTTTGGCAATTTTTTGCAAAGAATTTAAAAACTTAGGTAGAAATCCAACATAAAAGCTAAACATAGTCTAACCATATGATCCAGTAACTATGCTCCGAAGTATTTATGCAAGTGAGTTGAAAATTTTATCCACATAAAATTCTGCATGCAAATGTTTGCTTTATTTATAACTGTCAAGTTGGAAGCAACCAAGATGTTCTTCAAAAGGCAAACAGATAAACAAGCCACGGTATATGCATACATACAATAAATATTATTCAGTGATGAAAAGATACAAGCAACAAAGGACAGAGACAAATCTTAAATCTATACTGCTAAGTGGAATAAATCTATATGAAAAGGCCACACACTGTGTAATTTCAACTATATGACATTCTAGAAAAGGTAAAAAAAATCAGTGGTTAGCTAATGTAGAATGGGAGAGATAAACAGGTAAAGTACTGGGGATTTGTAGAATAGTAAAACTATTTTGTATGACACTAATGATGTATATATGAATCCCACAGAACTATGAGACAAAGAGTAAACTTTAAATTATAAACTTTAGTTAAGTATAAGGTATCAACAATGGTTTATAAATTATTTAAAAAGGTACTACGTGGGAACCAGCAGATGGCATTATAGTTACATTGCTGGACTTCCATGCAGTCAACTGTAATTTGAGTCCTAGATACGGTAGCTTAAAACTCATGCTGGGCATGTGTGCATGCCCAAAATCTCAAGGAGAATG